TATCATTTTTGGTCCATCTTTATAGACTTGATCTTTAATATATCCCCATAAAAAGAAATCTAGCGGTAATAAGTCAGGGCTATAGGGCAGCCAAAAAACGTACATCGCCAAAGCGATTTGGGAAGCCTCTTGCAATGACATGTTTGTCATGGTGACTTCTGAATCCAGGACATTTCCTGTTAAATGTAGAGGGGCTCTGTCCTGCTGAAACCATGTATCTTGGATCCTCTGTCCATTATAGTCAACAGGAATGAAACTTGTTCTCAATAAGTCGAGATAGTGTTCAGAATTCACTGTCTGGACAACAAAATACAGATTAGAATGCCATCAGCACTCAAACAACACTAAACAGTGACTTTTTATGAATGGACAGGCTTGATAATGATAGATTTTGGCTTATCCATGCCCTAAATGCGATAATTTTGACAATGGATGTAGCCATCCGTACAGAAGTGTTAGTCATCAGAAAAAAATGGTATCAGTACAGTTGAAATCAATGTTGTTCATTTGCACATGATGCTGGCAAACTCAAGTCTTTATTCAATAGAATTTTAGGCCAAAATGTTCTCCTAACTGAGTTTTGTAAGAGAAAATGTCAAGATCTTTGAAGGCTGTTCTCCTTGCTGTGGCTGTGCTGACATTAAGTGCCAAATTAATGTTTCTGACTTTTATTCCATAATTGTTTTGACAGCAGTGATATTTTCAGGCATCCTTGCTATCTTTAATTTGTTCTTCATGTCCACTTTATCATCAGCCACTGAGCTTGTTCGTTCAAACTTGGGAATTAATGCTCTTGGCATGCTTGAAGATGTCTTTGGCCTAATGTTAAAGGCACTAGACTACTCCTGAATGTTTTGGCAGGTCTGTGGTCACAAAAATAAAGCACTTTGACTATTTTCATACATCTGAAGATCGCTTTTATTAGACAGTTGCAAAATTTTAATGCTTTTGAAAGGTCGCCGAATCTTGATTGGTTTATGGTTTCTTGGTTTATGTGATTATGGCTAAGCCTAGAGGGCTATCTGCCTAAGAGGAGGGATGCCTTCGCGGAGGACTTTCTAAGAGTAATTGATTCGCGTATACGTAACATATGGGGAAAACCATGAAAACAGCCATGCAGCCAGACCGGTCGCGGGATTCGAACCTCGGAACGAACTAACAGAGTTTTAGCGACTTTACAGCTCGCCGCTGGTGGGCCTCCATTTTCAATATAATTCTTTCCTCAAATAAATGTCTGGGAAACAATATTTAGATTTCCAATATATTTGTTTTATTAGTGATGAAAAGAATTCCACATTTTCAAAATATTTATTTAATCAAATTTTTCATAAAATAATATTAACCCAATACCCCCTAAATACATGAGTTAAGTCTAGGTGGTGTTGACCAACCTCAGACTTTTCTCTATTGTGCGCTTGCCTCGCTACAGGGTATAATTGCCGCTTTTATGCAGACTCGCTTCAGGATGTCTTGCTCTTGTCAACAAGGGACTTCATACCTAATTCTTTGTTAAAACCGTAACGGTCTTCTTCTCAGTCTCTTTAGCCATTGCTCCCCTTATTTATTTCAATTTTTCATTTGGATTAAGTAATTGTAATTTTATTACAAAGGTACTCCGTACACAAAATACCTTAGTCCCTGTCAGTGACACCTGGAGTCCCTCCATTGCCGTCTAATCAAATAGAATAGAGAAATAGAACGAGAGCTTACAGGTGTCTTGTCCTAGCAGCGTCTCTTTGGGAAGGGGAGAAGTATTGTATTTATTTTATAACACTCCACAGAAGTTAACCTTGGATAATCCTGGACAAATAAAATAATTCAAATTAATGTTCGTTGAATATACACTCAAGTTATACCTCCTAATATTTTGTCGGTCCTCCTTTTGCCCGGCGAAGTGCAGCAACTCGACGTGGCATGGACTGAACAAGTCATTGGAAGTTCCCTGCAGGAATATTGAGCCATGTTGCCTCTATAGACGTTCATAATTGTGAACGTGTTGACGGTGCAGGATTTTGCGCACGAACTGATCTCTCGATGATGTCCCATAAATGTTTGATGGGATTCATGCCGGGCGATCTAGGTGGCCAGATCATTCGTGGAATTGTCCAGAATGTTCTTCTAACCAATCGCGAACAATTGTGGCCCGGTGACATGGCGCATTGTCATCCATAAAAATCCCATCGTTGTTTGAGTCGTGAAGTCCATGAATGGCTGTAAGTGATCTCCAAGTAGCTGAAGGTATCCATTTCCAGTCAATGATCGGTTCAGTTGCACCAGAGGACCGAGTCCATGCCATGTAAAAACAGGCCTGACCATTATGGAACCACCATCAGCTTGAACAGTGCCTTGTTGACAACTTGGGTCCATGGCTTCGTGGGGTCTGCGTCGCACTCGAACCCTACCATCAGCTCTTACCAACTGAAATCGTGGCTCCTCTGACCAAGCCACGGTTTTCCATTCGTTTAGGGACCAACCGATATGCTCACGAGCCCACGAGAGTCGCTGCAGGCGATGTCGTGCTGTCAGTAAAGGCACTCGAGTCTGTCTTCTGCTGGCATAGCCCAAGGAAGACAAATTTCGCCGCACTGTCCTATCGGACACGTCCCTCGTACGTCCCACATTGATTTCTGCGGTTATTTGACGCAGTGTTGCTTATCTGTGAACATTGACAACTCTACGCAGACGTCGCTGGTCTCGGTCGTTAAGTGCAGATGGTCGGCCACTGCGCTGTCCATGGTGAGATGTTATGCCTGAAATTAGATACTCTCGGCCCACTCTTGACACTGTGGATCTCGGAATGTTGAATTCCCTAACGATATCCGAAATGGAATAACCCATGCGTCTAGCTCTAGCTCCAACTACCATTTCGCGTTCAAAGTCTGTTAATTCTCGTCGTGCGGCCATAATCACGTCAAAGCCTCTTCACATGAATAACTTGAACACAAATGAAAGCCCTGCCAAAGCACTTCTCATTTATACATTTTGTACGCGATACTACTGCCATCTGTATATTTGCATATTGTTATCCCACGACTTTTGTCACTTCAGTGTATATATAAGAAACTGTCAACGTGGATCAAGAAATGAAGCAATGTATTTAGAGTTTTTGTAGCCATTCGGCAACTTAGATACGCCTTTGACGTTAGTCAGAATGGTGGTGAGTGTTTCGAGCTTTTAAAGCTGGATTTGTTTATTTTTTTATGTTTTTCTAGTTTTCAGGGTTTTTTTGTTCTCTTTTTTTCTTTTTTTTTAAATACGCCCGCTTTCAGAAGTCTCGACTATATTTAGCAAGACGCAATTACTTAGTCTGCCGACGCGGCCCTAGGATTTGTCTAGTGTAGTACGAAAATTTACTAATTTTTTATTAAGGCAAGTATTTTATTTAAGTAGAAAGAAATCTTGAGCTTGCCTGGAGAAAAACTCTCGAAAGCGGATTTAGAAAAAAGCCAATAGGGCCGAACAAGGAAAACAAAACTACAGCTAAGATGGGAAAATGGCTTTAGGGAAGAGATAATGCTGAGATGCTAGAAGATATTTATATTTCTTGCAATTTGCATGATCAATTAAAAATGCTCATCTATCATCCTCAAACAGTCTACAAGCCAGCATTTGAGAGAACAACTTTCTTCATCGATCTCAAACGAACAGCTAGAGAATATGAAGCCGGAATCTAAAGAATATCCTCGTTTAAATGGGGTCGGGTAGCAGAAACACAAAGAGTTAAAATTTTTTGATTGTCAAAGCCAGGAATGTGGCAAGTCACAGAAAAACTGAACGATCAACAACGATCTGTATTAAGCAGTCAATCTGTATTATCAGCTGGAATAAATCCAGTAAACGTAGAATCTTAGTTCCACGGAACGTAATGGCAGCATGATTAAATGGAATTAAATGGAAAATTCAAGTGAAAAAGTTTCTTTACAAGTTATTCCTTTACTTGCATTTGCACAATAATTCAAGTTTCAAAGCAATAATTTTCTTCATAAATCGAAAAATTATTTAATTAAAATCCTTATTACTTACTTATTACTTACGTATATTTTATATACGTAAAGATTTTTAGATATTACTTTAAATTTTAAATTGCTTTTAACATCAGTTGTCATTTCAGTGAAGTCTGCTATTCTTTTGGACGAAAAAATAAACAAACTCATTTTATTAAAAAACGCTTACTAAACTTTTTTGTTGAAATATATCAGGGCAATCATGTTCAGTATAAATGTACTGAAAAATAAAACAACACTCATTTTAAAGAATGTGTAGAGTTACTTTAATATATTTAATCTGAATTCCAAATTTTTCAGCTATAGTTCTTCAGATCTTAATAACTTTTAACAGTGATCTTGAAACTTTTAACCCTATTTCCTAATTTTGAAAATCTTCCATAACAAAGAGAGGTGAAATTATAAACGCATTCTTTAGCGGCTAATGCTTTATTCTGCTAACTGGATTTCGTAACATTTCGTTCGCCAATATCAGAACTCTCTAATTCATTTTTTAAAGAAATTCCTAGGAAAATAAAGGTCATAGTTTCTTACCTGGCCTTTATGAGTACACTAGAATGCTCATTAAATGTTATTCAATCTACTTCATGATTAACTCGGATATTAGAAGCATACGAAATGAGCATTTTGTTTGATGATCTCATTTAGAAAAGTTATATTAGAAAGTTTTTTGGGGGCGATTATTCGTTGTTATTAAGTGCGTGTCTGATATCTGAAGTGAGAAATTAATATACAACCTTAAATTTACCTAAGTGAAAGAATTTCTGACAAAATTCGAGTCCTTTAAGCATATTGAATATCTAATTTATTGTTATTGAATTGCTTGCAGTTATTTTGGACACAAATTATCGTTGATATATTTAAATGATTAATCGCAATGGGTAAGTTTTATCTAAAGATTTCATAAAACCTTAGTTGAAGATTAAAAAAAATGAACGAAAAGTTTAGGTAATGCAGTATTTATTACTGAGGGCTTGTAGAACAAAACAAGGAAGCTGAGAAGAAATCATTTTTATTTAAGACGTAACTCTTGCATAGTCTTATAAAATTCTATCACACAGACGTGCAACTTAAATTTAAATCCTATTTGATTGTTCTTTTAACTATTGAATCAGAATACAATTATGGTCTCAAGTAGAATGGTCACAACAATTTCAGTTAATATTTGTATATTATGCTGTCAATAGCTTCATTACTGCTTGACATTCCAAATGGGATTTAATTGTTTTACTCAATTATTCTTCTTACATCTGAATTATATATAATTTTTAATGCAAATAAAATGATATGTTTTTTATTTACACTTCTTATTGTTTATACCGCATAAACAGCTGTTATAATTTTGTCCTAAGTTCTATTTTCCTAAACTACATAAATATCAAAAACATTTATTGAAAAAATATGAAAATTAATTTAAAGAACAGGTTCATTTAACTTATTCTAGCATTACATGGAAAATTAATTTTTAGCATTTTATTCATATAAAATTACATGAAATGAATGATGCACGTAATAATCGAATATGTATTAAAACCTCATGAAATGAAGTAGAAAATGATATTGTTACTAAAAAAATAATTAAATTTTTCCAAAATATATATCGTTTCGTTAAATGTGAGTATAAACTTTACATCGAAAAAGAAAATAAAAAGTGATAAATGAATATATTTCCTTCATTTCAATGGAAAACAGTATTATTTTACATGACACTTTTTAACTGGGAAAGAAATACACAAGTGTAAAATTTAAAATTAATCAAAAAGCAACAATTTTTTTTTGCATAGATTTTGAGCATAACTCGATTTTGAGGAAGATCTGGTGCCTCAATGTTTTTTGGGGAACAAAACATTTTTGTAAAGATTGGAGAAAAGAATGACCAAATTTATAGAAATATCAAAGGGCGGAGCAAAGATAAGACGAATATAGCGCCATTTGTCCAGGGAAACTGTCAACGTGGATCAAGAAATGAAGCAATGTATTTAGAGTTTTTTGTAGCCATTCGGCAACTTAGATACGCCTTTGACGTTAGTCAGAATGGTGGTGAGTGTTTCGAGCTTTTAAAGCTGGATTTGTTTATTTTTTTATGTTTTTCTAGTTTTCAGGGTTTTTTTGTTCTCTTTTTTTCTTTTTTTTTTAAATACGCCCGCTTTCAGAAAGTCTCGACTATATTTAGCAAGACGCAATTACTTAGTCTGCCGACGCGGCCTTAGGATTTGTCTAGTGTAGTACGAAAACTTACTAATTTTTTATTAAGAACGAAACATAAGAAAACTAAGGAAAACTAAGATTTTACAATTTTGGAAGCTCTGCAAATATATGCATTAGAATTCATGCGTATCATGTTGATTTAGATTTTACAGTCTTGTGTCTTCATCAAGAACATTTGCATGCTGAATATCTTAGCCAAACTTAAACAGCGTTAAAATTTTGCATAAAAAAAAACTTAATGCCATACTCGAAAAAGTAAAATAAACAAGTCTTCAACAACTAATTATAATTAGTCATTTAACTAATTTAAACATTTTTCATGCTTTGATCCTACGAAAATTATTCACAATACCTTATTCAGTTGGTAAATTATTCACAATACCTTATTCAGCTTATTCAGTTGGTAAGACTGTTTTTGGCTTAATTTTAATCTCAACTATTATGTCAAATGTAACTGTCATCAAACAAGAAAAATTGCTTTTTTAAATTTTAAAGCTACATAAATATATCATATAATACTACAACTTAATTAAAAAAGACAGTTTGATTTCACAGCGCTTATAAACTAAAAATTCTCATTCCCTAAATGTGCTTAGCTAATCACATATTTAGTGTATGTTGTCTGAATATGCACTAAATATGTGAAATTAAAACTTTAAAACCTAGTCGCCAAAACTGCACACTCAATAAAATATAAAACTGTGTAACTATGACTTCAGTTTTTGTTATTTTAAAACTTATTTATTTTTTATACAATATAAACTTTCAGAGTTTAAAAATTTAATTAAAAGGGGAATTTATTTCAAAGTATATAAATAAGTGCGGATGGAAGAAATTATTTATTACTTTTAAAATTCAGAATAAATTTGGAAACAGATAGGAAAGAAGAAAGGGATAGATAGAAAAGTAAAAATGTAAACAAAGAGAATAAATGTTATATAATATTTGAGAAATACGAAAAGATGTGTAAAAGAATAATCCAAAACTTGCATCATTTACATCAAAAGGTGTTCATTTATTTTTCAATATTTTATTTATTTGTTTGTGGTATAATTAGAGACGTTTCAGCTTGATGAAACTTGAAACATTAACGAAAATTTAACTTCGTAACTTTGAAAGAAATTAAGATAAATGTTTCTTTAAAGCATTTCTTATGAATATTCATTTAAGTAAATTTTGCTGTTTAAACATAATAAAAAAATGCTGAAGTACGCATTGAAAGTTGTTAAATGGAATGAATTATTGGAAATGTCATACATTTTTCAGTAATAACTATTAAAACATAAAGGTATTGTATTTATAATAATAGAATAACGACCTACAAGTTAAAATTATTGCGACCATTCTAATCAAATCCATAAAAAGTATGACACATATGTACACTATCAAAATTTGACACAAAATAAAAATGCACAAACCTAAAAGAAAACAAAGTACACATGGCCAATCTCCAAAATGAAGTGGTTTAAATTTGACACATTACCTTCTAATGTTGCACCAATCTATTTTGTCGATATTCTTATATTGCACTAAATATCCTTTTGGACAATAAATAGAAGTAAATAACAAATACAAATTTATCATTTAATAATATTTCACATCTTTCGTCACGATACAAGATGGCAAGTCACAGAATATTCTTCATTTAAGTCGAGCTCATTTAAAATAACATTTATATATGTAAGCAAAGACAACAACTTCTGGCAAAAAAATTGTATCATATAGCTAATGTAACACAATAATTTGCTCTTAAATTTTGATTTTTTTATAACCTGTTCCATCAGAATATATTGTCAGTAAGTATTATTCAAAATACGTAAAATCAAATTGCAAAACATGACTTTCGTTTTATGCAGTTTTGGACTTGCATGTTTTTAAAAATATAATTTTGAAATGTTAATGCAAGAAGAATCTATCATAAACATATATTTTCTTATTTGAAACTTAAAAAGGAATGAATTAAAAGTACTTTTATGCCTCCAAATTTTAACGAAATGAGTTATATTTGTACTACATTTAGGCACAGAAAATTCTGGAAAAGAATTAGTAGAATAATTATATAAATATAATAATTAAACAAAGTTGAATTAAATACTAATGTATTTTATGGATTTCACCTTTTAAGACGGTGGGAGTACAAAGAAACTAAATTTGTAGGGCAGTCTTCCAGAAATCTATAAATTAAGATAAAAGAAATATGACTAATTTACCTGTATGAGAAATTAACTCGTTTGGGGATATTTCTATTCAAGTCTGAAATGCAAAAGGAAGATTTACACATATAACATAAAAGAAATATTGTTGATTTGTTACCTAAAATATTTTATGATTAAATAAAAGCTCTTTCCATACGCTTCTAGACAAACAAAGAGAATCTGGGACAGAATACTAAATTTTACAGCTTGTATACGGAAAGATCTGCCCTGAGAAAGAATTCAAGAGAAAAGTAATTTAGAGAAGGTAAAGTGTATATTTAGATAAATATCTAAGTATCTTTTTATAAGGTATCTTTTTTTGTCAGTTTATATACAAAATTTGAAAAAAGTCAAACAAGCCGCCGTTGTATATTTGACATTTTAATAATATAATATAAAACAATCTGATTCCTTGAAGAAGAGATTAAAGTGGTCTGATAAAGATTCTGAAATGCATACAAATTTTGGAAAAAGGATAAAGAATTTTAGACAAAAAGATAAAATACCTCACAGAAGTTGTAAAATATTTACTTATAAAACTATATGAACTAATAATGTTTCTGTTAATGGATTTGTAATTTGTTTAGAGAATGCTCATTATTAGAAATGAAAATTTGCTTAATAATACTGAAGTCTTTTGAAAGAAGGAAAATACATTTTAAAATAAATTTATTTTAAGGAATTTTTTTGGTTTTTGATGTATGCTACATGTGTTATGAGCAGAACTCGACTTAATTTGCATTAATATTCATGAAGTTAATGAAAAGAGACAATAAGAGAGCCACCGAGGGTAGGGAAAATAAACAATCTCACTCCTACAGAGTGCGCAAACTAAAAGAGATAGCATAAGTAAACATTCATAGCTCGCATGAGAGTCAGAAATATGCATATAACATTCTAGTTAACTCATAAGTCTTGCAGAATTTCTCTTTTAGTATGAACAATATGAAGAGGAGAATGTTGCGTAGTTTTTTGGATCCAGGTATAAAGGCTCGACGGTTATCACAGCTAATGCCGCAGGTCTCAGAAGGGTTTGGAATAACAAAATGACTTGTCAACAAAATGACTTGCAGAAGACACAAGAAACGAAGGTCGGTTAAGACTTTTTTTGATGCTCTGTTTATTTACATTAAGTACACAATGGTCACTAAGTCTAGTGAGGCGATTCGATTTTCCAAACAAAGTCTCTTGGGGGGAAAAAATTGTTTGATCATTTGATCATTTGATTTGAGCACGAAAGTTCAACCATGTCTCCCACAACGAGTTTACGCGACAGATGCTACAACCGCGTTAATGCGTTGTAATGGTAAATGGGCTACAAGAAATGATGTTGCGAATCAATGCCCTTCGAAAATTGCACATCCTTAGCAAGGAATATTTCGAATTTCAGATAGCTGTACAATGATTCACTTACATGAAAAATTCAAACTTTTTAAAATCACTTTTCTAATTTAATTACCAGTCTATACTGAAATTGCATTTCCTTTATTTGATGTTTCTATCTCTAAAATCTGTTTGTGATGATAAATTTTTGTTCGTCGCCAATTTTTGTTCCCTGTATGAATGTTTAATAGAAACTGGCGAACGTAAACGTTTGAGAATGTTACCTACTCTTTTTCAATAGTTCGAGCAGAGAGTTCATTTACCTATCATTTCGGATCCAATATATCACTGAAATCACGAAATGCAAAAAAGCATACTCCCGAATTTTATGTCAAAGGATTTAAATCTTCCCAAAAGGAATTTTTGTGCCGAATTTAAGTTCTGGAGCAAATATCTTCGTCATCACTGATGTCATCCCACCTTTCTTCGCGTTCAGAAAGAGCCCTTTCCAATCGCCTAATATTTTGTTCTCTTTCAATTCTAGATTTATCATTTTCTTTGTTGTTGGCACCACAAAATGACAACTCAGTAGGTTCAATGCGCAAGACGGAATCTATCCCTGACGAATGTGAAGAAAAGTCTGTTTGGCGCACACAAACGCCATTTATAACTTGGCCACCTCCGGAGGAAGATGGTTGTGTAAGTTCTTCGTTATCGTCATCATCGTCTTCTTCATCAAAGCCGCACAAATCACTATCGGGAGAAAGGTCTAATCCAGGATCTACCCACTGTGGTACAGCAGCCTTTCGACGGTTGCTTCCCCCTCCACTTGCAGAAACAAAATTATTTGATCGTTTTTCTTCACGCAAATCTACAGGTGAGTCCCTAACTGCATTTCCTGGTTTGAAATCTAACTTCGATGATGATCCTCTGAGGATGTTATCGATGTCTGGTGCTGGAGTTTGAGAAATCGTTTCTATTGCTGAATTATTATTTTTAGCACTCGATGAAAAGTCTTGGGCAGCTAATCTCTGAAGAGTAGAAAAACTAAGGTCCAAAGTTGATTTTATACTAGTTGGAGATGGGAAGTCTCGAGGAGAGTGCCTGGAATCAAAAGATACTGAATTCTTTTCAGAAGAAGGTGTCAAGTCTATAGCGGAGGCGTGCGCTACCTGAGTGGTAGATGAAGGTCTTGCTGGTGTTGATTCAGTAGACCTCTTATCTGTTTCGTCATCCTTCTCAATATCCTTTTGTGGATATTGTTGACTGGACATGCTGAGATCCAAAGTATTCTCCGTTTCTATATTCCCAATTACCTGTGAAACTGTAGCCAATCCTGGTGGGGGACATAATGCCCTCTGAGCTTCTGAGAAATAAGGAAGCAACTGATTCGCTGTTGCTGGCTGATTCTTGCACATCTCTGCCAACCGTTGTCCGAGCAGCAGCCTGAAGCGTATGGGATCAAAAGAAGTTGTACTTTCAGGGGTTGGATAAGGTGGTGTGTCTGGTTCTTGGTTCTGTTGCTTCAATCTCATTCGATGATTATGAAACCAATTTGTGATGGTACGAATTGAAAGTCCTAATTCAGATGATAGAAATTCCATGACAGCTGTGCTCGGATAAGGATCTAAATTATAGGCAAGTTTCAGAGCTTCCTTCTGCTCCTCAGAAAACAGGATTCTTGGTTTCTTGGCTGATGGTGGATATAGAAATAGGGGATCCAGTGGAAATTGTTGTTGTTGTTCCCCACAAGGCAAAAGTGGAGAGGGTCCATCAGTATCAATAGCATTCCTTCTTCGCTTGTTTGCTAAAAAAGAGAGAATTTTTTAAAATGTAACTTTGACATTATATTTTGAAGAATAAAATGATCTGGAATTTCTTAACCATACATGAGATGTACTCATAAACAATATTATCACAGGCATGTCTCAGTGTCATCTTATACATGCAAAACAAAAACGCATTTACGCAGGAACGTATAAAAGTTTGTGTTCGTTATTAGTTATTAACTTCAAATTTGATCAAGAGTGGACAGTTTGATGCTCGAAATTTCTCATACTTAGAACAGGGTAGTGCAAATTTTGTAATTTTATCAGAATTACTTCTTCATTTCTTCAAAAAGCCTTTCATGAAAACATGCTTGCCTACGTATATATGGTACTTTGCTCTGAATAGTTATCTTTTTGACGACAGTGAGAAAGTTCTAAGTGAACGAAGTCATTCTTGATTGCAAACAGCCCTTCTGTTTTCAGCTATTAAACTATACTGAAATGACCCCACTAACAGCTAATTAAATGAGAGAGAATGCCGCAATATTGTCATACAGTGGAATTTATCTACGCTTCAGTGGTACAAAGCGATAAGGAGTAAGAGAACAAACTTTGAGATCATTGCAACCTATATTGCAAGCACGGAAATAATTTGTATAAGCAATACCAACAACTATAAAGTACTCTTGGAGATAAAATATTTTCCCAAATGTTTCTCTGCGCTATCACCTGTACTTCCCTTTTTACTAAATTACTAAACAATATTAATTTTTATTATAAATATTTATTAATTATTAACATTTTCTTCTTCTCCAGTGCCTGCCTTGATAGCGTAATTGGTAGCCCGTCCAGCTAGCTAGCGATCGGAAGATCTGGAGTTCGAATCCTGGCAAAGACGTCGTTAATTTCATGCTTCCTGGTTTCGAAAGAAACTCAATAGTTTTAAAATGTTCAAAATTAATTACTTATTTAATGATGTATGTAAATGTTTTTTGATTGAATTTTGTTTGTCAATGTTGGATAAATTTTATTCTATATACTTTTTATCTTACAATAAATTATATTTAAGCAACAAGTAAGAATTCATTATTATTTACAGTTGCTCAAAGAAATATGTTAATTATTGATAACTATTTAAAGTCTTAATATCCTGTGACTATAAGAAAAAGAACCCCCCCATAAAACTTAAAATATAATAATAATTTTACGAAACCAGAAATATTAAAAATCTCCAACTAATATAGATTAAAATAATGATTGCCAGGCTATTAGTAGATTCCAAGAATAAGCACTGCTAAGCATATTTCAGTAGTACTTTACCCAAGATTTAAATATCGCTTCCAACGAAGATTAATTCAGAGTTCATTTGCAACTTTAAATGAATCATGCTTGTACTCGCTCACACATTTTGTACGTAACGCTCGGAAACTTTAATATTTGTAATGATTATATTATAACTGACTGTAGGCAAAGATACGGAGATTTATCTTTGACAATTTTTTTAAAGTGTTGCTGGTATAAAATTTTAATATATTTTTATTAAAAGCTAACACGAGAACAATTTGCCGAACTCTTAACGTCTATCTTATGTGATTTATTTCTTAATCTAGATACAAGATTCGACGGTTACATATTTAATGCATATTTATTCGCATAGTCTTCCCGAAAGACTTGAATAGCGTTCATAAATGATGAAACTTGTTTACTTTAATAATGCAAAAGGTTTACAGCCTAAATGTTTTGTGCTTTCAGTAACTACTATATACACTCTACGTGTTATTATACAGAGTAAATCACTGAAATGTACTCATTCAAAATCATAAGCACTTAGTTTACCTTTAGTTATCTTCCAGATATTTCATCCTAACTTGCCAAATTGTTTCAGTACTTTAATAATCAACATTTAATTGATATTAACTTCCATATAAATTTGTAGGATTTCATATTTATTGACCAATTATCTTATCATTTTTATCTTTACTACCATTTTTAATTTTGTCGGCTCCCAATAGGACATGATTTAGTTCCTGTCCTGTTTTAGCAGTAACTGTTGATTATCTTATTAGGATTTAAGTCCAGCATCTAGATTACTCGAGTCGGCATTAACCTTTGTTAGTAATTTTTGCTCACTTCTGTTGAGAATCTGAGCCAAAACTTATAAGCGGACTTGGTAGTGAATAAGAGATTCTAAACACTTTTCTTTCGACCGATAGTAAAATTTTCTTTCAATATGTGGTAAGTACTGTTTTCATTGTAACTGCTTTTACGCAGGCTATCTTCAGCTCAGAATTAGATGTTATCAGGTTACTATTATTTTGCATTAACAAGTTATTTATAATTTCAGCCTTTATTATAACCTCTCCTTTCCGTTTCCTCACCAGAAATGTAAATAAGTTAGAGAGTGTTAAAATTAATTTTTTGAACTGAAAGACAGAACGTGTTTCTGCCTCTCGAAACCATGTTACTTAGTTTTCCCAGCGTTGATAAGATTGTACCTATTCTGTTTTGAGTAACAGCTGCCGTAATTTAAATTATAAAGACGGTAAGAAGTTCTGAGCCAACTTAGATTTAAAGTTAATTGTGGAATCTTTGACTATTAGTATACATTCAAACTATAAATTTGACTATTATTTTAAGTTGCATTGCCACAAGTGGGGTATGATGAGTCCTATGGGTACGAGAAGTGTGTTTATGTTCTAAGTTTTGTGAAATAAAAAAGTTTGTGTTTAAACCTTTTCAAGCCTCTGTAATTCATTTCAGACACAGCGATAATTCGCTTAACGTTTGTTGGGAGTTTGATATTAATTAAGCCTCTAAAGAAAGTCAAACTTTATAAGATAAAAATTAAGGGTACGGCTTATATACGCGAGAGTACGGTATATATCGTGATTAAAGTAAAAAATGATGAACAGAAATTATGAAAAAGATTAAAATTATGTAACTCTCATACACTGAAGAAAAAGATGGAGCATTAATTGATGGTTCGTCAACTGACATTATTTTTGACTCAAACTAAAAATTAGAGCGGAATTTTAAACGCGTATAATCGCAAAATTGCATGGATGATTTTTTCAAAATCTGGTACTTGGGCATAATTTGAGGCATGTAATCGAACTACAGAAAAAGCAAATCTGCTTATGGTTTCACAAAAAAGTTTTAGTCTGCTATTTTGGTCGTAACATTGTAAAATTATACGTTCCTGATCGTTTTCTGTCATGCCGCGTCTCGTTTTTAAGCTGTTTATTTTTTTTACGCGTTTTTACGCTAACCATTTGAAATAACTACACGATCGAAAAAAATATAACGACATTTACACCTATTAATTCTGTTTTCCATAGTATAAATAAGATGATTAATCAATACTTGAAAAACTGAAATTTGTCATCTCATTTCTTTGATGTGAAAACTTCCCTAATTGCAGAATGCACTTTATTCCAGTTAACCAACAAAAAAACAAACAAACAAACAAAACAAGACTCAGGTTTTCAGAAAAGAAAAATAAAGGCAATAACCCTTAAAATTCCTCTGGTAAATATTTTTTAATAATCATCTTCAATTTATTAGCAACAATAATAGTTCAATTTAAATTAAAAAACTGGAAAAAATATTGTTTCCAAATATTTAGAACTATGCCAAAATCTGCAATCTCTCTTGGATTTTAAGATACCTTTTTGCTCTTCTTTACGCTTAAACAAGGAAAATATATGCCTTCAAATCGAAGAAATATGGCATTTCTCTGACCCATTGTCGAAATTATTTATTATCATAGAGAGAGAGAATCAAAGTTAGCTAGGAAAAAGCTCATAAAGATTTTAATTTAATCTTATTCTCATATTAATTTAGTTAATCTAGAAGGTACGACTAACTGAATATTGTGTTGAACCCTTTGTGGCTATTATAACCAACTAGTAAGCCCCCGATTCTCTAACGAATTGAACGTGCGAACGCGTGACGCTGTAAATTGCAAGGTAATGAGAATAGAAAAATTAAAAAAATCTGATATGAACACCACATGACTTCTTTGTTCGGCCTATTAAATTATACACAATTTTGCTGCGTTTGATTTAAACCGATTTCCTCGAATTTCATTAGAGATGTATTCCTCATTCAATTATTTCGGTTCTCATTTAGCGCCAAGGCAAAAATACATAAAAACTGAAAATATCTTCATTAAAAATTGTAAAATACAGAAACACATAAAACATCAAATATAGTTAAAATAGTTTAAAAAAATTTTACAATTAAAATTAGAGTTTCAACTCAGAAACAAGCAATTTGGCCGGCGAGCAAGAAGACAGATTTTCCGGTGCACAAAATTGAATATTTACTTTAGGTCCCACTTGACAAAAAGACAGTGAACGTCAGAAACTGACTTAATTCCCTATTCTACTAAAGTTTCAAATGTAAATAAACTGCTGCTTCGTTAGGATTAGTAGCATTTAAACAATTTTAAATTGTTGATAATTTTGCAATATATATATATATATATATATATTTATGTATGTATTTATATATTTTTGGTGCGGCCGATTGCAACCAAAAAGGGATTTTTTATTTACTTTATACTTTTGAGAATTTAATGAATGTTTGATTAATAAACTCAGCGATATGAAAATTAGCAGTGTCAAAATTGTTTGAAATAAAATATTTTTATCTCCTCCATTCCAGACTGTTGCCATTTAGCAAAATGTACTATAGTTTATAAAATATTTTAGTCCAATTAACCAGTTATTATGATTTAGATCCTTACTATAACTTCTTCTTTCTATATTTCTCAACAAAATGCAAATTAGGTGGGTGATTATTTAAATTGAGGGTTTTGAAATGTTTAGAATATTTAATCACATTTTGCTATTAGTTATTCTCGCCATCTCCGCTTAAAATTATATTCCGGCCTTAGTGTTCTTGCTAGCCGATGTATTAAAATACGCACTGGTAATTATCTGAGCCAGCTTAATTTAGTCTGTTTCGTATGTAGTTTCCGCCTACGTTATCTGCAACTAAATTTAATTTTTGTTATGCTTATTTAAGTACTTACAAGTAGTGGAGATTTAGTCTGTACCACAAGTTGTGCCTGTTCCGTTAAATGTAAGATTAAATAAAAAAAATTATTTTAATTTTCTTCTGTATTTTGTGAGCTGTTTAAGATGTAGCGATAAGTTGCTCCTTGTTTAGTAGGGTCTTCAGGATTTCAGTTTCAGTTACAACAACAAACTCGGCTATTTAAAAGCAAATTGCCACTACCCGAAAATAAAATAGTATTATCTTGTACGCACCAGCGTGTTGCGTTCAGTTGCAAGTGTAAGATATTTAATTTTCAAATTTAAACTATCAACTTACAAACGATTTTAAGTAATAAACGCAGTTTTTAAGAATATCTTTTCTACTTTTCAATTTAATTGATTTAAATAAAAGGCATTTAAATCATGAGATATCTAATTACAGATATTTTGGGAAATTACACTAGTTGAATTCATTAAAATTATTATATATGTTTTTCTTTTCTATGACAGCTATTTTAGGTGACTGAATAAATCCGACAAAAGCATTTCGATCGACGAGAAATATGAGGTATACAATCTTTCATGGAACTATAAATATGTGAACAGTCAAGAAAAGGTTATTCCCATTTTATAAGCAACTAAAATAAGGCATGAAGTTATTATTTTCTTTTTTTAATGCGAAAACCTTACTTAGCCAGGTTATAAAAAACTTCTGTTTAAAAATAAAGAATAGAAATACGGAATGTTAAATTAAATTCTATAATGGAATATCATATTAAAAATACTCATCACTTGAAAATTTCCTGTAAAAAATGACTTATAAGGATATGCTGTTTATTATTTCAGCAGTAGGAAGTGTATTTGCTGTGAAATCCTCAAAACAATGCAGAAGCAAATCATGAAATAATGTATATATTTAGAAAGTGAATGTGAAAAATAATTTTTTTTTCTTGTGGATGAATTAATCTGTTTATTTCCGTTGTTAGAAGTTTTAATACTAGTTTTTTAGGCCAACACTCTGTGCAAAAATCAGCAAATAATTTCCTAATTTTCGTATGTTTTGGTCAAAAATTTTCCTTTAGAAATTTTTTATAGTAAGTATTGAAATGCAGTCATATGAGCAAGTGAAAAAATAGCGCAAACGAATTACTTTCATTTATGATTACAATTAAAAGCGAAAATTACGTCAACAGTTTCTTTAAATTTTGAATCAGAGTTTATCTTTGGTTTTGGGAATATTGAAGTACTTTCAAAACTGCGAGAGTATCTATTTTAATATAAAAATACATTTTCTATAGCACTTTTAAAAACACACGGTATTACACTCATTATGTTATGTACAGGAATGCATGTTCCATTTTTCTTCATCGAGAAAATATGTTTGATTTATGAATGAGCTATGTGCTTGTTACAGATAAGAACATACTCGCGAACTCCCTTCGCACTCCTTCTTATTTCTAGAATACCTAGCAGCTAAAATTGTAATTCGAGATACAAACTCTTACGAATTTCCGTTCTGATCTATTTTAAGCTGCGGGTGTCAGTTTTGTTTACATATTGCTATCCAAAGACTATCAGATTCTTTAGAAATATGGAAGACAACAAATTTTGATTATGCTAATAATTACAACTTACGAGACTATGAATTTTATAAACTTATAAATTAAAATGATATTAAGTGTGCTAAACATTTCTAATATTTTCTAAGTATGAATTTATTACTAAAAATTAAAATCAGAAGCTAATTATTTAAAACAATTTAAATTTTTTCTTGAAAATTAAACTTTCTTAATAAAATGTTTAACATATATCACATTAGCACCTGAAAATATGTATAAATCTATTTATTTTATGTGCTTTATAATCGCCTTAGAACTTCTTTTAAAGCAAACACTAATATTTTTAAAAATATTCCTATTGAAGTTGAAAGCTGTAGCTTCAACATTAGAAAATTTTATATTACAGGCGACTATAAGCATTAGAGCCATTATGCATTCAAGCAAACTAATTAAAAACAGATGAAAATACCTTCTCTTCTTTCCGTTTTGATAGCTTGTAATTTCTCAACATTTGTGGGATCGTTGAGCCACAGTTGCATTCTAATGAAAGGTTCCCTTCCTTTAATGCTTAGCATATGCCAGGGCTTCGGCTTTGATAGAAGTTCGCTCACGGAACCTTGGGACAAACCTAGTACGGCTTCTCCAAAAAGCTAGGGGAGGTAAACAAAGTCTAGTTTATTCAAGGAAATTTATCATACGCTCATTTTACATTACTACAAATCTTTTTTTATCATTTATCTTAAATTTTATCTTTTGCTGTACTAATGGCAAGTCGGGCGCTAAGCTTTCTTCACTAAGCACGAATTCTGCGAATTCAAAATTCTGTAGCCCGATGCAATTGTACTGGCTCTGGCGCCGACCTTGGCTAAGGGCAGGACTAATTCCAAGCTCAGTCAACGTACGCAGCCGCCTAAAGTGCAGATTTTCGGAGGGTACCAAACTAAGTTTATCTTGGAAACGAAACTTAAATCAAAATATATTTCACTTAGAATTAATGAACTACTTAATTTATACAAGAAAGTGCAATGTTCGCCTAAGACACTGAAAACGTTAGAGCGGATTCTGAATAAGAGAATAAAAAATACAATTATTTGCAGGTATGAAAGCTGGAAAGATATTTCTTTTTGAAGCAAATGTAATTTTTATAAAATTATAGCATTTTTTTACGGAAATGATGCTTGCATGTACTTTCAAGTGTGCTTGCTTTTTACTAGCTGCGATGATGATAATAGAACTTTGCTGAATTTTTAAATAGTTAAATTCACATACATACAAGTTATAAGTTATAATAATTATTCTTATTATTCAGTTCCAATGACCTATACAGTTCAAAACAGATGAACTCCTTTTTTTTTTGCTTTAAAATAGGTAGAAGTTTTTCAGATGACATTTCTTTCTGATATTTAAACAACAATATTTTCGGTACTGGAGGTACTAAGTAGTATTGTTGAATAAAAGCATTTATTACATTGTATTCAGCTACTTATATTACTTGAGAAAAGACATTTTAGAGTTTTTTTCCTCGCAATATTTACAGAATCTATATCACTCCACCATATAATGGGTAGTGTACATGAACGATATCTCCTTATCAGACATTAGTCTTCGGTATAAATATGAACATAAGCCGAAGATTGGACATGAGTGGGCCAACAAAAAATGAACAGCATAAGCTTCTTAACAAACTCAAATAAAGATTGAAAAAATATTGATTTAAAAAAATAACTCCAGATGAAGGTTCTTCCTTCCAAATTCAAGAGTATTACTTAATGATGGATGGCAGATTCGATATTATTTTTTTCCACTGTTTCTGTTATACTAATTTTTATTGTATTTTCCTTCAAACAACATTAAATAAAAAAATCGCTGTACTAGATACAAATGCTTATGCCATTTTATTCAAAACCTTGCACTTTTTATATCTTTTGAGAAGACAGTTAAAACAGTTATCGTTTTATTATAAATTTAATGCTTTTAAATAACTGCATTTTTTAGTTTGTTGAAAGGGAACAAGTACTTTTTATATAAAGATAAATATTTGGGAAATTGAATTACTTTTTTTTAAAGAAAAATGTAAAGAAAATTGATTTATACATATAGCGAAACAAACCTTTTGCCCAATATTGTGGACGGTGAGTGTTTCTTTAATCCTCGCTGTAATGATCTGCGTATCAAGATCGGTGGTCACTGCTGCCATTTCATAGACAGAGGGTTGGACATAAGGGGCCAAACAACGGCTTCCCCTTCGGCCAGCTACTGCAGAGCCTTTAAGATTGCCACTGGAAGGCAACGCAGCGCTACCTGATGGGCTATGGGCAGTGAGGGGCGCCGAGGGACTCTCTGGTGTTGAAGGAGGTTGAGGAGATGAAGGATGAGATGGTTTCACTGGTGTCTGACGATGAGATGGGTAAGTGGGCTCTGCTGAACTCACCGGACTAAATCGATTGGATCCTAAAGAAAGTAAAATTCTCATAATTAATTAATTACGAAATACTAGTGAACGTTTTTTAGATAATACCAAAGACATTTATCAAAATGACATCACTCTATGGTCAAAATTTTGTGAGCATTTCGGAGTAAGGAAAAGGGAAGACAAAAAAACCAATATACTTTAATTATGAGTATAATATAAAATTTCGTGATTTATTATACATTTACATCTTCATTTATCTGTCTATCTCTATTTATGTAAATATACAGATAAATGAAGATGTAAATATGTAAATATATAATAAGTCACGAAGTTTTAATTGTTTATATTGTATTAAATCTGTAGATGAGCCTAAAATGTAGAATAAGAGCAATGGCAATCCAAAATATCCAAATTTTAATTGAGATGAAAAAAGTGGCTAAAAACTAAAGAACTCCTTGCATGTGGTTTTATGGCGCAATGATCAGGCTATCTATTTGACTTATCGGCAATATTGTGTTCGAGTTTTGTCGAAGGTAAAATTTTAATTTCAATTTATTTTCCATTTCTCTTGTTCTCTACATCTGGTGAACACACTCAAAAGTCGGTAGTAATTCGACTCTGAATTAGGTTAGGCTAAAGCACAGAAGACCGAAAGGAGGGAATGCCTCGTGGATGACTTTTTAGGGCAACTCTTTCGTATTCAAGTTACATATAGAAAAATCCACACAAACTTTCCTGCAGTCAGTTCGTAGGCAGGGATTTGAATCCGGATCGAATTTTCATGTTCAGTGATTTTACCGTTCAAATGCTATTGAGCCGCACACAGTTAGGATTGACTAAAATTTGCCTAATCTCCTTTAGCTAAGGGGTATGAGGACTTAAGGCATTTTCCCCATACGTGTTTGTATTTCAATGATTAGCATATCTATGAGCATATTAAATATCCTGTGTTCGACTCTAAACGAATATTCATTTTATTTTTTCAAGAATTTCCTTCGGTTTTTGTCGCACATTTTTTTTCAATAAAAATCATCGCATTCACAACCACAAACTTAGGGTTTTCAGCTTTCTTTTTGAAAAGTTGCACCACCTTCCTTTGCCACTTTAATAAGTGACTTTTACGATGAGATTTAATAAGTGTCGATAATTATCATTAAACGATAATAATTTTAAGATTTAATAAGTGATCATTATCATTAACACTTATTAAATCGATAAGTTGATTTACGATTCTATTTATTAAATGATAAGTGATTTAATAAGTGAATTTTACTATGCGAATGACGTAGTAATAATATAAAAACTATAATAAATTTTAAATTAAAAACATCCAAAATTTAAACAATTAAACTTGTCGAATTCATTTAATAAACATATCTAGATTGACATCATGAAAAAGAAAACTTTTTAACAGATATTACTGAAAATCTGAACTATTTCATACACAGCAGCACATATTTGGACATTATGTCAATAAAATGGCAAAATATTTTCTGCTATCTAAATTCTACCTGTTTTATAGCAATGTCTTCATTCATAAATTTTAATTTAAACTGTATTTTTTTTTTTTTTTTTTTGTACTTTCTTTATTGCAGTGCTGGTTCTAAAACAGAACTGTGATTATTATGGATGGATGACTTACTCGTAATCAATAATTATCAAAGCCATTAGAAAGATCATGAAAAATAAAATCGCGCAGATGATCACTGCGTTCCAGAACTGAATTTATTAATAAATTTAAATGTTAGCCATTGGCAGCTGTAGTAAATTACTCAAATTAATTTGAAAATGACATGCGTAATTTGAGATACACATTATCACCTCACATTATGTGTTCTACATAATGCGACTTATTTATTAACAGACGAATAACAGCTTACCTGGAGGAAGCGGCACGCCACCATAGCCGCCCATTCGCATGAGTCTCTCCGGGGCTATTTTGTACTGCGAAGCGACCAACTTGTGAACCGCGTTCTCATCCTCCAGGAACATTTTCATTCTGATAAATGGTTCCCTGCCTTTTTGTGTAAGCATGTGCCAGGGCTTGGGTCTCGCCAGCAGGTCGGAGACGGAGCCCTGCGACAGTCCCAAGACACTCTCCCCGAACAACCGCTGACTGATGGAGTACTGAGATAACTGTTCTTTCACCTAAAAGAAGGATTTGTGTAGTGAATAATAAAATTTATCATTGCATTTTGGGTAAAATATTTTTAATTCTATACGAAGTCAACACATTTACTGGCTTTTCTAAAGTAATGATTTATACAACGCATTATGCTTTAATTTGTAAAATAGTGCTAGAATAGCTATTTCCATTTTTTCATTAATATGGGAATGTTTGATGGCTTAGTTTTTAGCTTATTTTGCACTTTTTTGGATGATTGTGATCTTTTCATATTCCCGCTTGTAATTTCGTCGTAATATCTTCGGTCATCTTAAAAAATAGTTCTGTTTACCAATTTTGTTGAGAAACATAGTTAACTATCCTTTCATGTTTTAAATAATGGCAAGATTTGTATTTTTTATTTTTATTATTATAGCGTGATTAAGATGAGGTAAGGTAACACACAAGTGACTTAATAGCGAATGAAAAATCGAAATTAAGAATTTTACTGTTCACAAACTTAAATCACCACAACTATATTTCCATTTACTTGCGTATGCACATCCTGTAATACATTGCATAGAATAAAATTTCCTACTTCAACTTTAGTGCACCGCATGCTTTGGCGCATGAGATAAAAAACGCAGACTAATACGCAAGTCTCACTTTAAGCAACAATCAAAAACAATAAAATAAATACTTACTCGCTTGACTATGTCTTCTGTGTTTAAATTGTTATAATGGTCGAACTGCTGTTGCGTGATGGGAGGTAGTACAGCTTTCATAGGCCGCTGTGGCAACGTATTAAAACTTGGCGTTGCTGCCTGGTTCAGCAAAGAATTGGTAATAGATTGCATCCTTTGAAGAGGAGAAGATTCTTCGGAATTTGTTGTCTGTTGTCCCTCAGGAGGTAAAGGGATGAGAGGTGATGCGCCAGAATAAGGTGATAAAACTTTCATGGCATCGGAGGAGAAAAAACTTGAATGCTGCAAGAAATAACTCTTTTAACAAAAAATTGTGATGCTAATAAAGAACTAAATTTCTAGTAGATATTAATACCACAGAAACTGAAAAAGTAACAGCAACATATGTCGGTGCATTATAAGGTTCGTAATTTCAAGGATAAAAGTATAGACCATGCAAAAAAATCATAACTTCAGAAATGAATCTATTTTTCTGTTCATATCTGCATTTTTTGTTTGCAAATTAACACTTCATCAAGAAATTATAGAAGAAAAGGCTTAAAAGCTTTTTTTTTTTTTTTTTTTTTTTTTTTCTACTTTACAGAAAACTAAGACAATGAGCACATTTTTTTTTAAACAATGCGTTTTTTGAAGCAAGTCTAACGTCTTCAGCAAGCTCATTTAAAAATTTTTATATTATTTTATTGGGCATTATACATTGTGGAACAGATTGAAAAACATTTTATTGAAAAAATTGGAAAAGGAAATCATTTAGAAGGCAAGAGGTAAAATTAATATTATGCATTATTTTATGATTTTTCTAAACTTAAAAATACGACAAATTATTTCCAGTAAAATATAAATAACGTATTGTTACGAATTTGGTATTTAAAAAGCTAATGTTAGTTCAATTATAAATTAAATGGTTTTATTTCTCGCGCAGTGCAGCGCGTGACGAATATTAAAAGAAAGCTAAGCCGGAAAAATTAAAAATACAAGAGCGCGTGCGTTAAATAAATAAATATCTCTTTTTGATTTCGAGAAAATGCTGGAAAATTCTAGCGCGTGATTTTAAAATCTTATAAAAGGAGGAAAACATCTCAGTTTGTAGTAGTTGCTTAGTTTGTTGTTGTTTAGAAAATTACTGTTGTTGATTGTAGCGAATTCGCGGATTAGCGTTCTTTAGCTGTTTTGAATTACGTTCTATTGGACATTTGAGTAGTTAAAAGATAACTACTGTGAGATATTGTAATACTGCATGATAATTTGAGAAATTTAAGCATTTTTGTTGTGATAATAATAAATTTTTGTTCATTTTTCATCGGACTTGTGCATTCATTTCATAACGAACCCGTACGCACGCAACAATTTAATATGTGTCAAAAAGCTTGGGATTTGATTAGTGCCAATTATTAGAAGCGATGGAAGATTTCAACTCAGGAAAATGATGACTGCATTTGCTGCTTTCCAAGAAAAGATGGAAGGGGCCGTCAACTCCGTTAAGGAAGAAATGAAATTGGGCCAGGAATCCGTTTAAGGAAGAAATGAAATTGGGCCAGGAATCCGTTAAGGAAGAAATTGAAATTGGGCCAAGATTCCGTTAAAGGAGAGATGAGATTCCGTTAAAAAGGAAAATGGAAGCCGTTCACGAAAAGTTGGAAGCTTGGTCAAGTAACTTTTAATTACCATCACTTGACTAATTAAAAGCTGTACAAGAAAAGATTGAAGCAGGTCAAGACGAAATGAAAAGAGAAATAACCTGCGTAATAGAAACTAAATTTGAGGCTATGGAAGACAGAATAGGAGCTGTCGAAAATAAAGTCGGGCAAATTGAAGAAAAGGTTTCTTCTGTCAAAGATGAAATAGAAGATAGAGTGTCGGCTGTGGAGCAACGAGTCGAAGGAAGAGTTTCGGCCTTCCAACAACAAATTGAAGAAAGAGTTTCTGCCGTAGAACAACAAATTGATGATAGGGTTTCTGCTGCCGTCGCCAAAGAAGTTGACAGCCTAAAGAAGTGCATAGCGACGGTAGGAAACAATTCTGAAGGTTTCAAATTTTTATCGATGCCTGCTCGTTCGTTCCGTTCTGAAACTATCTACATATGATGGGAAGACCTCCTGGCAGGTGTATAGGACACAATTTTCTATCTATCGTTGCGGATGCGAATGGATGGGATTCCCAAGCTAAGGCCTGTCATCTCGCCGCTTCTCTGAGAGCAGACGCAGCGGATATCCTGCAGACGCTTCCCGAAAATCAAAGGCTAGATTTCGAAGCTCTATCCGGCGCTTTGGAGCTGCTCTTCGGCGAGAAATGTTTAAAAGACTACAGCAGGCTCCAATTAAAATCTCGTCAACAGAAGCTCACCGAAACGCTTCAGGAGCTCGCCACGGATGTTGAAAGGCTGTCACATCACGCCTTTTCGGAGTGCCCGACAGAAACAAGGGAAATCCTGTCCCTGCAATATTTCATCGATGGCATCCGGGACCCCTGAAATACAGAAAGCACTGCGAATGGCGGATGTTAAAGATCTGAAAAGCGCTTTAGTGTATGCCATGAAATTTGAGGCAGCCCAGCAAGCCACCCGTCGAGACCGCCATCCAGTCAGAGCTGCTCAAGTCCAGTCCAGGAGCCAGGGGATCAAGTCCACTGCTCGTCTAGACGATTTAACTAGACAACTGAACGCCTTGAGACAGAATATTGGTGACAAGAAACCGACCGTAAAGTGCTGGAACTGCGGTGCTGAAGGACACATACGACGAAACTGCAGAACACCCCAGGGCACGGATGTCTAAGACCGCTCCTAACAAACAGCAGGGAAACTAATTAGTGGCCATCTCGCGGGGCGGAGGTTGCCAGATCAATGAAAAAGCCCCAGTTTAAAGCGCTTCAGATTTCTGCAGTGAGAGGCGGCAGTAATGGACTTTTTCATAATAGGACATATTAATGGAGTTCCCTGCAATATGACGATAGATACAGGAGCCAACGTTACCATCATCCGAAAAGATTTGGCTCAACAATTGGGAAGCAAACTTATCTGGACGCCGCCCTGCGTTACCCTACAGACTGTGTCCGGTGAGAAGATCAACATCGATGGAAAAGTAAATGCTAACATCACGTTTGGAAGTGCCGCTTACCATCACACGGCATATGTAGCAGAGATCACTGATTCCTTGCATACTCGGATTGGACTTTCTAAGGAAATACAATTTTTCCTTGGACTTTAAAATAACGAATGCATTCTACATCTGAGGACATAGCGTTATTTTGAATCAATGATGAAGTTAAATCTGTCCATAAAATCATAGCACAAGACAATATCACAATACCGGCAAGAACAGAAATTTTACTTCCTGGATCCATAGCCGAAAACAGAAATTTCCGCTACGGCATCATAGAATATCCCAATAACTGTAATAGCCCAAAAGGAGTACTAGTAGCCTCAACACTCGTCGACCTATCCAGAACGGTTATCCCGGTGAGAGTCGCCAATGTAACTGAGAAGGCGAGAGTTATTAAGAAAGGTGAAGTGGTTGCAACATGTACTCCAGTAACCACAGTTGAAAGAAAGAGTAACATCCAAGAATCCGTGTCTTCAGAAAGCATTACATCAGAGTTACTTCAGAATGCGCAATTAAACGATGAAGAGAAGAATGCTGCCGATCGCGTCGTTAAAGATCTTCAAGTTGTTTTCTCCCGCTCGTTTTCTGACGTGGGTCGAACTAGTTTGATACAACATAGAATAGATACCGGTGATCATCCCCCGATCAAGCAACATCCAAGACGTCTACCGTTTGCTAAACAGGAAGAGGTGCGAACACTGTTAAAAGATATGGAAGAACGCGATGTCATCGAGCCTTCAGTAAGTCCATGGGCATCTCCCATCGTCCTAGTCAGAAAGAAAGACGGCTCAACAAGATTTTGCGTCGACTATCGCCGGTTGAATGAGGTTACGAAGAAAGACAGTTACCCTCTTCCTAGAATTGACGACATTCTAGACACTCTTTCTGGAAGCAAGTGGTTCTCAACACTTGATTTAAAGAGTGGGTATTGGCAGGTAGAAATACAGCCTGAAGACCGAGAAAAGACGGCATTTACTACGGGACAAGGGCTTTGGCAATTCAAGGTGATGCCGTTTGGACTGTGTAATGCGCCGGCAACATTCGAACGTCTTATGGAAACTGTTTTGAAAGGCCTTTCCTACGAAGCCTGCCTCATATACCTGGACGACATCATCATCGTCGGAAAGAGTTTTTGAAGAACATTAGAAAATCTTAGGAAAGGTGCTTCAGAAACTGAAAGAAGCCAATCTGAAGCTGAGTCCCGCTAAATGCAAATTGTTCCGAAAGGAAGTGACTTACCTGGGACATGTCATCTTTGCAGAAGGTGTGCGCACGGATCCTGAAAAGGTATCAGCCGTTAAATCCTGGAAACGTCCCGAAAAATGTCCATCAGCTGAGAAGCTTCCTAGGGCTTTGCACCTACTATAGGAAATTCGTGAAGGACTTTTCTTCCATCGCAAGACCCCTACACAAGCTGACAGAGAGCAACCAGAAAGTTCTTGTGGACAAAAAGAATGCGAGGATGCATTTAACAACTTAAAGGAGGCTTTAACATCTGCTCCAATCCTGACGTATCCTCAGCTTGACCGACCATTTATTCTCGACACCGACGAGAGTAATGAAAGTGTTGGTGCTGTTTTGTCCCAAGAAATAGACGGCCAAGAACGTGTAGTGGCATACTGGAGCAAGTGCCTGTCTAAACCGGAGAGGAATTATTGTGCCACCAGGAAAGAGTTGCTCGCCATAGTCAAAGCTGTAGAACATTTCCATCACTTATCTATACGGCAGAAAATTCCTGCCTCCGCACCGGATCATGCATCATTGGACCTGGCTTTTAAATTTCAAGAATCCTGAGGGTCAAATAGCCAGGTGGATACAGAGACTCCAAGAATATGACATCACTATCCGTCATCCTAAGGGATCATCACACGGAAACGCCGACGCCCTGTCTAGAAGACCTTGCCAAGAAAGCTGCCGATATTGTTCCAAGGTGGAAGCGAAATACGAGCTGCTGACTCCGGTCGCAAGACAAATTACAACATCATCATCGACTGATCGAGAACCGTGGAGTGATGATGAAGTCAGGAAAGACCAGCTGGAAGACCGCGACATTAAACCCATAATTGATTTAATGGATTCATCAAACAGAAAACCTACCTGGCAGGACATTTCTATCTGTAGTCCTACAACCAAACAATATTGGGCACTCTGGGATTCACTTCACATTTGAAACGGCATCTTATACCGGAAATTCGAATCGGATGATGGGAAGACGTTCCGATGGCAACTTATACTTCCAAGATCCCGCATTCCTGATGTCCTTAAAGAGTTACATAGCACCCCTACTGGAGGTCACTTTGGAATAATGAAGACCTTGCAGAGAGTTCGTGAGCGCTTTTACTGGAATAATGCAAAGGATGACGTGCAAAAGTGGTGCCGATCTTGCGATGCCTGTGCAGGTCGGAAAGGACCGAGGAGACGCAGCCGAGGCAAGCTGCAACGTTACAACGTAGGGGCAGGGGCGCCTTTTGAACGTATCGCCTTTGACATCCTGGGACCTCTGCCACGAACTGCTGATGGCAACAAATACATACTCGTTGTCATTGATTACTTCACCAAGTGGCCTGAAGCTTATCCTATTCCTGATCAAGAGGCTGTCACAGTAACTGAGGTAATGATACAGCACTGGATTTCCAGGTTCGGAGTGCCTCTTCAGTTACATTCCGATCAGGGAAGGAATTTTGCCTCGCAGTAATCAAAGAACTATGCAAACTATTCGGCATTGACAAAACTCAAACGACGCCATTGCATCCCCAGTCGGACGGCATGGTAGAGAGGTTCAATCGAACCATCCTTAATAACCTCTCATTAGTGGTTTCCAGAAACCAACAGGACTGGGACAAGAAATTACCACTCTTTTTACTGGCTTACCGCAGTGCTGTCCACGAGACTACCGGCTATTCTCCATCACAGATGCTCTTCGGTCGTGACCTTCGTCTGCCTTGTGATCTATTGTTTGGCCGCCCTCCGGATGCTCCTTCATCGTCTGAGGAATATATTCAAGATCTCCAGGCCCGGTTTGAAGTGATGCACAAATTTGCACGAGAGCGAGTGAACTTGGCGACGGAGAAGATGAAGACCCGCTACGACACAAGAGCTACTGAACATCAGTTCCACGAAGGAGACAAGGTGTGGTTGTGGAATCCGACTCGACGGAAAGGACTTTGTCCGAAATTACAGTCACCTTGGGATGGCCCGTATACAGTCCTAAAAAGACTGAATGACGTCGTGGTTCGGATTCGTAAGTCTTCGAACTCTAAACCTAAAGTCGTTCATTACGACAGGTTAGCTCATTACTATGGCCATAGTACGTAATGTAAATAATTGTAAATAGTATCAGACCATGGTCATTTTTGTTTATAAATGTGTATTTGATTTGATTTGTATTTAGTATTTGATTTGCATTTAGTATTTGATTTGTATTTAGTATTTGATTTGTATTTAGTATTTGTTTTGTATTTAGTATTTGATAGCATTTGATTTGTTTAAGTTAGTTATTGCATTTATTGTTTATATTGTTTGATATTGTAATGTAATGTTTATGCCTCAGTTGCATTTATGCCACAGTTGTAAGTTTAGCTTCCTGTCCAGGGATTGTACTGCCCGGGACGTGCAGTCCTTGGGAAGGGAGCAGTGTTACGAATTTCGTATTTAAAAAGCTAATGTTAGTTCAATTATAAATTAAATGGTTTTATTTCTCGCGCAGTGCAGCGCGTGACGAATATTAAAAGAAAGCTAAGCCGGAAAAATTAAAAATACAAGAGCGCGTGCGTTAAATAAATAAATATCTCTTTTTGATTTCGAGAAAATGCTGGAAAATTCTAGCGCGTGATTTTAAAATCTTATAAAAGGAGGAAAACATCTCAGTTTGTAGTAGTTGCTTAGTTTGTTGTTGTTTAGAAAACTACTGTTGTTGATTGTAGCGAATTCGCGGATTAGCGTTCTTTAGCTGTTGTGAATTACGTTCTATTGGACATTTGAGTAGTTAAAAGATAACTACTGTGAGATATTGTAATACTGCATGATAATTTCAGAAAATTTAAGCATTTTTGTTGTGATAATAATAAATTTTTGTTCATTTTTCATCGGACTTGTGCATTCATTTCATAACGAACCCGTACGCACGCAAAAGTATACTCTTTGTGTGTTAATTTTATATAAGAACATTGTAATGCTGATTTTATTGAACGTTATTCATTTAAGCGTGGAGTACTTTTCGCATGAAAAAAATTTACAAAAATAAGTAACTAAGCGGAAATGAAAATCGATATGGAGAAATAAACTACGTACACTTACTTCATGTGCACTTTGTTGTTGAGGATGAGGCATACAGCAAGGAGGTTGGTCTCTACAGTAAGGAATCCCACAGTCGGGTCTTCTGTGCAGCGGACATGAATGGCATGAAGCATCAGGATGGTGGGCTCCTTGAGCAGCCAGTAAGGTGAGTTCCCGGTGGTAGATAGCTAAGGCTTGCCGAATCTCATCTTGAGCTTGTTTCGCCTGTTCTTCAGGTTGCCCTTCTTTCATTCGTTTCCCTGTAGAGCAATCAAGGTATCGTTTCCCTAATTAATTATAACGCAGAGAGACATTATACCTTTAGCTGGCAAAGAAACATCATGAATCAGAAACAATGCGTTAATTATCTCATCCGGACGCCTATTCTATGATCACTGGATCTGTCTACAACTTGAGCGAACAATATTGATTAAAAAAAAACCCGGTATAGACAGCCATCACAACTTATCGGAGAAAGCCATTCTGTGGTCCTCAGTTAGTGGGCGAGTGGGTTTATTTGACTTTACTGAAAGGGAAGAAAGCTTCAAGGAGCTTTAGACCAATCGCAGCACAGACCAGTGACGAAATTTATAGCGCGCGCTGGCTGAAGTTCTAGGAATATTCTTTCATTGTTTCACTAACTCACACGCTGCATTTGTAGTTCGAAAAAAATGGCACACAACAGTATTATGACCAACACACAGCAGAATGTGCTGCTGTGTTATGTGAAGGAAAATCCATTTTTTTAAGGCGAAAGTTAACGCAGGAATTTAGGGCTAAGAGTGATGTGGGATACCATGAAAGCAACGGTAAATAGATAAGAGCAAATGAATTAAGCTTACTTAAATCTTTTTAGAAATAAACAATTTTAATCATTTAAATTTATAATACGATTAATTTGCATTACAATCTAATAGCAAAATAAGTTTTTTTTTTTTTTTTTTTTTCCCATGCTTACATTAAAACTGCTTTCATGCAATTTACTTTACAGTTAATATTAGAAAAATATTTCCTTAAGTAAGAAATTACAAAGAAAATATTTTTTTCTTAATTTTTCTTCCTTTTTCTTATTTTTTTTTTCTATAAAAATTATTTCTTTCAGGAAAAGAAATAAAATTCATTCGCTATTACAGTATGCCGATTGCTGCTGCATTCAACTATCACACACGCAACAAAATGTGTTAACATCAAAATGTTTATTTTAAATAATTTATTCTATTCTAATTAACATTATAACTAAAAATAAAAAAAATATTTTTTCAATATAAAATATATACACAAAATTATACTAATCTATCCTGTATATGTGATTAATTGCAATTTTTGTCACACAGTTACTAATACTTTTTTTAAATATTACATTGTTTTTATTTTAATTTCTTATATATATATAAGAACTGCTTATTTTAAATATTCTTCCTTCTCAAAAGATTTTATTCTGTGAAAATAATTAAAAGATAGTAATATTATTTTCACAATGCAAGTACTAAAGTAAAAATAATCAGTGTAGGTCTCCTCCTAGTCAAACCCGCGTTTCGACGCATTAAATAGAAAATTAATAACAATCAGTATCTCTTTTACAATATAAAAATGAAAACTCTGATATGAAAAGTATATATATATATATATATATATATATATATATATATACTTTTCATATCAGAACTATATTGCAATATGAAAAGTATATATATATGATCATATCAGATATATATATATATATTTTTCATATTGCAAACCCAAAGTATATATATATAATATATTATATATATATACACTTTAAGTTTGCAAAGAAACAATGATTTTTTAATACTAATAGATCACAAAAGTACTATTCCATGAACAAACCCTCAGGCCTACAGCATTGTTACTTTATAGCATACGATAATAATGCAGTATAATTAATTCAATAATAATTCTTTACAGTAGTAACGCAGTATAATTCTGCTAATAAGCCCACCAGCGGCCGAGCGGTAAAGTCGCTGAACGCAGGTAGTTTGGTCCGAAGTTAGAATCCTGCGAACGAGCTGGCCGCATCGGCGTTTTCGTGTCTTTCCCCATGTGTAACGTGTATACGAGCCAGTTTCCCTTAGAAACCAGTTTTAAATCGTAATAAAATTACACACACACAAAAAAGGAAAAAATCTGAAAGTCTTCAGGTTTTATATTACTCTCAACCCTTTTTTTTTTAGCCGTTTTTTTAACGTTTTGCGTGTTATCTTTATTTAATAAATATCACATTCTTCGCACTCAAACCATAAAATTCAATTCAACAGCAATAATATATAATTTAAAAAGAACATATCTTTAGAATTTTCGATACATAGACGCGCGCTAGAGATGAAAATGCTTTTTTTTTTTTTTTTTTTTTTAAATCCGTACAATGTTGCCATTGCTCGCTCTGAAATCGTTGAGTTTCTTAATCAAACACTCATAAATGCTTTACAAAATATGGAATAGATAATAAAACAAATTTCCAGTTCCAAATTTGGGTCTCCAAATGCCTATATTAGGATGGAAGATTACGTTATTCAAAATTTCATGGCTCTAGGTACCGTTGTTTTATCACAGTGCGAGAAACATCCATACATTTAGGCATATTCCTCATTATTTAACTTCTTTAAATGCAATACAGTGAGATAATATTTGGTGGCAACAATTTGAAACATTTCTCGTGAAACACCACAAAATGGCAAAACGAAATTAATAGCCCTTCTGGGCTAAAACTTATTTTTAAAAGTATCACACTAGTAGTAGTACTGCTACTGAAAAAATATTATAAAGCTACTTTATATTTTTATAATTTTTATTTTACAGTAGTGGGAATTGCGCGTAATAATGAACGACATTCCTTTTTGTGTTCACAGTATTGTTCGTAAGATATTCAACTGTTAGATTTTAAAATAAACGTAATTCTTGCTGTACATAAATCGAGTAGAAGCGTATCGGATGTCTACATTTGTATTAAAAATTCTTCTACATTTTTAAAGCATATAATGAAATTCAGGAATAGTATAAATAACGTTCTGTATTAAAACTCTGTCAGTTCATCGCAAATTAAAATAACTATAAATTTTGGCAATCTGAAATTCGCAATGAAAACATCTTCTGACAGAGCAAAAGCATTAACATATTTTCTATAAATTCGCCATCGATTCAGAGATCTACCAATTCCATCCAATTGCTTTCGCTCGCACTTGGTTTCAACTACACAGTGTTATTACCAAAAGTTCAGAGTTGCCAAAGGCCAATCACGGTAGTAAAATAAAAGAGATGTACTTTAGGTACATCTGTCACCCGGAGGCGTAAAAACTTTCAGAGCTTGGGTCTGGCATTCCTGGTCGTGGTATCAAATGTTGCATTCAAAAATAACAAAAGTCGTAATTATAACACACAGAAAATAGCTGAAAACTATTTACATAAATACAACTACCAAGACGGGTTGTGATGTATGGTGCGGGATCTTTTGACCACATATGCAACAGTAGGGTCATAATCGCACAGGCTTCTAATAGAAGCGTAGGAAGAGGTTCTAAGGCTTTCAAAGAAATTATGTGAAGTGATCAAAGTTTGTTCATGCATGGCTTTCACATTCAGATCCTCCTGAATTTGAGAGTTCCTCACAAACCAAGGTGAGTTCACAATCGCTCTAAGTATTTTATTTGTATTATGTCTAGTTTAGCACGCTTCAGTCTTGGTGGCTGTCGCCCATGCTGGCACTGCGTATAACATAATCGGTCTGATTAAGGAAAGTTCAGTGTTCTTTTGATTTTTATCGATAAGTTAGACTTCCTGCCAATCAAGCTGTAAAGGGCACAGAACGCAGCATTCGCTTTTTCCGCTACGGCTGTAACATGGTATTTAAAGGTGAGCTTGCTATGTATAATAACTCCTAAATACTTATAGGAAGTCAGCCATCGGAACTGTATCGTTTTTAATTCTTGATATCCGTATTAACAATTACATTCTGCCTGTAGCGTCTGTAAAAATCACCGGCAAATTACAGAATGCAGCATTTACTAGAATTTAAATTGATTTTCCAATCCTCGCACTATTTCATTTCGTAACGATATTTATTTTGAATTGCAGTTTTTCCATTGCAAGAGGCGGGCTGACAGAATCCGTAAGTACGACCGTGTCGTCGGCGTATTTTAGAATCTTGGAATCCAAGGAATTTGGGAGGTCATTTATAAATATATTGAAAAGAGAGGGAGCGAGGACTGCTCCTTGCGGGACACCACTGTAAATTATCTTTTTCATGGAAATTGCATTTCCACACTTTACTTGGAATGTTCTACGGTAAAGATACGAGATCATAAGTTGAATAAAGCTGACCGGGAGCAGAAAATTTCTGAGCTTATGGATAAGTTCTGCGTGCCACACTCGATCGAATGCCTTTCGATCTCGAGGAAGCACGCAGTGACTGCCTTCCTTTTTTTGAAAGATGCCTGCAATATATTCAACCAGATTTAAAATTTGATGCGTAGTAGAATGACCGCTTCGAAATCCAAATTGCGAACTGTCGATAAGGTGAAGTCTCTCAAGGTGATTGGTAAGTCTGATTTTTAGAACTCTTTCAAAGACCTTTCCCAAAGCAGGAAGCAGACTAATCGGCCTGTAACTAGTTATTAATTTCGGGTCTTTAACCGCTTTCGGAATTGTAATGATGATGCTGTGCTTCCATTGCTGGGGAAAATATCTAAGTCGTATGCAGGCATTAAAGATTTTCACGAGAAGCACAATACACTTTCTTGGGAGGGCCTTGAGGGCGTCATTACTGATTTCATCAAAACCTCTGGCCTTGCGAACTTTAAGATTTTTGATAATCTGTCGAACTTCTCTGAGGGTGGTGAGATCGAAGTAATCAGATGGAGTGCTGCATTTAAGCGAGGTAGCGGAGTATTGAATTTCTTTTTCATGCTCGGTATCCTCTTCTGGGTGGAGCTGAAAAACTTTACTTAATTCTTCTGCCATTAAGTTCGCAATTTCAGTCTCAGAATGGTGTATGTTACCCATGTGATGAATTGGAGTAATGCTATTGGTCCTTGTGGTTCGAAGCGAGCGTGCGATTCTAAAGGACGTCCCTGGCTCAAAATATTTTCCAGCAAATAATTCCATTTTTCAGAGCGGAAATCCTGAATTTCGCGTTTGATTTCCCTGTTAAGATAATTAACAAGTCTTCTATCTCTGGGGTTACGGGATAATTGCCACTGCTTTCTAATGCGATTTCTCCGCTTAATAATGTCCTTAATTCTTGTCGGAAGGGCGAGATGACTTTCAGAATTCCTCGGCGAGGAAGCGTTTTTAATGGCATTCTGCATTTTGTGATTTGATTTTCGATGTCACTACAATGGTTAAAGCTGCTATTACAGGGGTAATCTCTGAGCTGCTCTGTGAAGGAGTTCCAATTTACTTTATAGGAGATCATTTTTAAAGGTGGATAAATTCCATAAAAGTCAAACGTGACTGGGAAGTGGTCCGATGACAATTCTTCGTGCATTTCAAGTAGTGGAGTCGTACTAATGTTCTTGAATAAGACAATGTCCAAGATATCTCCCACTCCATTATTATGGATGTGAGTAGGTAAGTGAGAGGCAACTAGTCTCACATCGTTCCTAAGCAAATAATTATTTAGAATTCTTCCATTTCGGTTATCCTTCCTAGTGCGCCAAGTATGAAATTTAGCATTCAGATCACCCGCAATAATCGTGGGGTAATTCGTGGACGTCAAAATATTGAGATCCTGTACCTGAAGAAGTCTATTGAGAGGGTTGTAAACTGCTATGAAGAGAAAGTTTGTGAAGACATTAGGATTTTTTAAAGCAGGGAATGTGGAAAATGAGCAATTTCCTCGTCGGGATTCGAAGTTGGGCCTCTCGAATACACACCGAATGTGCTACCGTTACATGTCGAAAATATACAGAAAGGAGGGCAAAAGTACCTTGCAAGGTTACTTAATTTTTTTTAAATAAATAGCTCTAAACGTTTTTGTAACAAATTATTCATGTTTACTGATATCTGAAACTTTAAGATGAAGCATAGACATTCATTTTACCAAGTTGTTCCTTTGTCATTAATTCTACGTACACATTTGTAAAAATGTCATATTTTTACAAATATTTTATAACGCAGTTCCAACGGCAAATCCTTTATTATAGCACGTTCACGCCGGGGCCAATTTTTATGTTCTTCGCCGTGAGACGGCGCTCGAATTTTTGCCGCGTTTCATCTGGAGGCGCGCGGTTATTACCTGTTCAGATTACCTGTTCAGACCTGTATACGAGTTGTACGTTTGCTAATAGTTATTAATCATAATTTTTATTAAAAAAGTTTTTGTAATAAATAAAAGTTAATTTTTTATTATTTTAATTTTCAGCGTCTATAATCACACACTCGAATGCGAACCATCAGTGGCACGCGCCACCCGATAAAACAGACTAGTGCGGGCCACCGGTGGTACGCGCCGCCCACCCGATGAGACAGACTAGTGCGCGCCACCGGTGGCCCGCGCCGGCATGAATGTGATAGAGTAATGTCACTTTATATTCAAGTCTCAAAATCTTATGAAAAGACTGTTGCTTTTTCACGAAAAATGATGAAAAATATTAACAGTAATAAAGATATGGTAGAGATTGAGGTGTGATTGGAAATCTTTGTTTTATCGATTAAATGCAGCACCAGTTGTGTTTAGTTCGCATTAGTTATTGATTTGTGTGTAAGTGATCAGATTTAGTAGCTAAAGGGGTTATCCCGTTGGATCTGTTTTAGCTATTCTTTTGGTTCTTTCATTTTTTACTTTTTTGTTACTCGCTTCCTGCACCCTACTTTCCCTGAATTATGTATAAGGTAATATGTAAAGGGATCATGGCTAGATTTTGCTTGTTAATGCCCAGGCTGGTCTTATTACGATCTCTTGATTAAACATTGATTTGGATAAGCAGGTCGGGGTCAAGCTCTCTTATCAAACCTAATCACTTCCTATTGCATGAAAAATTAATAAGCAAGCACTTGAAAAGCAGAATAAAATGTTTATCACTGATAACACAAAAACTGGCGAATTGAAAACAAGACGAAAATTTAAAGATATACAGAGATTATTTGATATAAATACCAAAATAGTTAGTTGAAATCTGAAATTTAATCTAACTACAGGTAAATCATATGGAAGTAATGTTAACACTTACACATTTCTAAATTAAAAATAATGTAAAATTGAGATTTCTCAGTTTCTTTACTAAATTCTGACTTTTTAGTTCATCTTCTGTCATAAAAAGCAAATTGAGATTTCTGTTATTAGTTGTTTGTTTTGATTAATATTTGACTATCTTCTGTGTTTACGATACTTCTGTGTAGGAGCTCCCATGCTGTTCACAGAATTTCTCATGATCTGTATTGGACTACCGAATCAAATCTGAACCCTAAATGACTATCCAGCAACGATGTAGAAAAAATATTATAAAATAAATAAAAGCAGCTTCTGTAACTAACGTAAATACATGTTCAGTAATCATAACGATTGCTACTCATTTGATCTGAGTTTACGAAATTCTGTGATTTTACTCGAGAAAGATTAAATCTCAAGTTAAAATAAAGTTTAAAAAAAGAGAAAAATTTTTAATAGCATAATCTCGTACCAATCAGCTTAAGAAGTTCTTCTTGATAAATGTGAGCCAGCATAACTGGCGGAAACTCCGGACCATAGTGGCAGAACGCTTTCGAACCGTTCATTACGTCGGTATACAGTGGGTGGTGTCCTACGTGATGCATATGGTGCCGTATATCCTTATGCTGCATTTGTTGGGATGCAACGGATACCTCAGGAGCAGTTGTGCTGTCTTCAGCATTCGAAGTCGGACATTGCGCTTCAGAGGTTGGTGGAAGATTCCGTTCTTCTATTTCCGGTTTCGAAGAACCATCTCGTCCTATAAGAAAATATTATTATCTCTCTCTCTCTCTTTTTTTTTAAACTGTGCACTTGTACAATAAGATTCATTCAAAATCGTGAATAATTATTATCAAGCAATATAGAGGAAATAATTATTCTTCATTTTACTGCAAATAATTATTAATTATTTATTGCACTTATGTTAAAAGGAGCTAGGAATGAGTAACAGAAAAGATACATTGCCTATTGAAAAAATACAATTATAAGACGTCGGGGAGCATTTGGAAATGAAATGAGCTTTCTCGTACATCTAAGAAAATGAAATAAATAATTTTATTTAGGTTGTTAATAGGGTCGATCATATTTTTTACATTGACAAATAGTATGAGAAAAGCCTTTGTTAATTTTTAAAATTCTCTGTTCATTATTTTTTGTACACGGACATTATTTTTTGTTCATTAATTTTTATATCGGAAGAGAATGTGCTAAATTTTAAATTGCCATTTGAAAATGAAAATCATACCGTACCATATTTGATTCAGCGCTGCCAAAAGAATAGTGTTAGTACTAAGTTTCATAAAATGCGGACGGCAATACTTTCTATCTATATAGTATATAAAAAGAAGAGTCTGTCGTCTGTGTTTGTGTGTTTCTTTCGTGCTGAGCGTAAGCTAATAGACCCAGGGCTACGAAATTTGGTACATAGGGGTGCACCTCGAGACGAGTTTTTTCAAAATTCGAATGATTTGTTTTAATTTTATGTATTATGTATTTTATATATTTAATCTGAGAAAGAATTACAGCTGTTGAACAAGAAATCGAAGAGGTTTCGGCTGTCGAACAACAAATCGATGGCAGAGTTTCTGCTGTCTCCAAGGACATTGACAGCTTAGAGAAATCCATAGTGAGAGCGGAAAACAATTCTGACGGCTTTAAATTCCTAACATTCCTAACAATATCATCCCAACCCTCTCTAAAGCTATCCACGTAAGATGGAAAGATTTCCTGGAAAGTGTAGAAAACTCAGTTCTCTATAGTGGCAAACGCAAATGGATTGGATTCCGAAATAAAGGCTTGCCCCTTTATCGCTTCTTTGAAAGCAGAGGAAGGCGCGTTACAGCTGTGCCTTGGAGAGAAGTTTTTGAAACACTATAGCAAGCCTCAGTTAAATTCTCGCGAACAGAAGCCCACGGTAACACTCCAAGGAGCAGCGACGGATGTTGAAAGGCTGTCTCATCTCATCTTTTCGGATTCCCCAGCAAAAAAGGAAAATCCTGTCCTGCAGTTCTTCGTCGGTGGCATCTGGATTCCGACGTACAGAAAAGTCTGTGCGAAAGGCGGATATAAAGGATAAAAAAGAGCTTTAGTATACGCCATGCAATTCTAAGCAGTCAATCAAGTACCTCGTAGACACCGCCACCCAATCAGAGATGCTCAAGTCCAGGAGCCAGTGGATTACGTGATTGCTTGTCTAGACGATTTAACCAGGCAATTTAGTGTCTTAAAGCGGAATATAAGTGACAAAAACCGATCCTAAGCCGCTGACACCTGCAGTGGCTAGTGCCACATACGAACGAACCATTGAAGACCTCAAGATACGGAAGCTAAGACCACTTCCTAGCAAGAAGGCGAGAAAAAAATTAGTGGCCATCTTGCTAGGGGAGGTTAACAGATACTGAGAAGTCCCATTTTAAAGCACTTCCAATTTTTGCATTGAGTGGAAAATAATGGTCTTTTCATCATGTAACACAGGGGTTCTTAACCCCGTGCCCGCGTTCACCAATGTGCCCGCGAAGCTATTTATGTGAGCCCGCGACTGTCCGCTATATATTAGTACTATTTTGAATACTATATTAGCAACTATTTTGAATTTTTTGTTACCTTTTTAATGTAGAGTATTGTTTATGATGCTTATGATTGCAATAAACTAAAGAAACATTAAGAATCGTTACACATTTTTTTAGTCCAAAGGGGCTTTATCCCTCAAAGACTATTGTTTTCGTTTTGCGATTTTGCGTTGAATAACTATAAACGGCGAATCACGTTTCAAACTGTTGCCACCAAATGTTAGAGTCCTGCATTATATTTGCAGAAATTAATAATGAAAAATCTGCATAAATGTATGCAGATAGATTTCTCGCATTGAGATAAAACAGCGGTACATAGAGCCATCGAATTTTGAATGACGTAATCCTTCTACGAATATAGGCATGTGGAAGACCAAATTTGAAATTTGTAATTTGTTTTATTATCGATTTCATATTTTGTAAAACTTTGACGAATTTTTGATTAACAAACTCAAGGATTTCAAAGCGAGTAATGACAACAATCTACGGGTGGAAAAAAAACAACCTTTTTAACTACAGCGCGCGGAACTGTGTATCGGAAATTCTAAAGATATGCTCATTTTAAAATTATTTTGCGACATTCCTATTGAATTGAATTTTATGATTTAATTACAAAAAACATGATATTTAATAAATAAAGGTAACACACAAAACGTTAAGAAAAACGCCCCTTTGGACGTTATTTAAAATCTGAAATCCTTCAGATTAAAAAAAAATTTTTTTACTGCGCCCACCAGCATTTCCTGTTTGTCAGATGTGCCCAGATGGGGAATAAGGTTAAGAACCCTGATGTAACACACAAACTGAGTTCCTTGTACTATGATCATCGATGCAGAAATCAGTCCTGCCATCATCCCAAAAGAACTGTTTCAACCATTGGACGGTAAACTCATCTGGACTCCGACCTGCGTTATCACCAGACTGTGTCCGGTGATAAAATCGACATCCATGAAAAGTTAAATATTAACACCTTGTTTGGAAGCGCCACCTAACATCATATTGCATATGGGTGGATGGCAGATATTACATATCCTTGCATACTTGGATTAGATTTTCTAAGAATATTTTTCCTTGGACTTTAAAAAATAAAATACTGCCTTTTGTCTCTGAGAACATAATTCTTCTAGGAATAATAGATAAAGGAGTGAAATCACTCTGCGATCTGTTGAGGTCTGTCATCCCGTTGAGAGCTGCCAACGTAAGCGATAAGGAGAAATTCATTTGGAAAGACGATGTGGTTCCAGCATGTACTCCAGTGACCTGCGTTAAACGAAACAGTAGTACTGCAGTCTTCTGCGTCTTCGGGAAGCTTAACAACGGAGTTAGTGCAGAATGTACAACTAAGCGATGAAGAGAAGTGTACTAAAGTATGTATCGTTAAGAATTTCAAGATGTTTTCTCCTGCATTTCTTTTGACTTAAGTCTAACCAGTTTGGCACAACATAAAATTGTTACAAGGGTTCATCCGCCAAATAAGCTTCTTCCAAGACGTCTGCCGATTGTTAAACATGAAGAAATAAGAAAGCCTCTAAAGGACATACAAGAAAGCGATGTTATCAAACTTTCAGCAATCGATAATATCAGCATCATCGAAAACAGATTTAAAAGTGTTTAGAAAATATTAGAAAGGTGCTTCAGAAATTGAAGGAAGCCAGTCTAAAGTCCTGCCAAATGTAAATTGTTCAGACAGGAAGTGACTTACTTCGGACATGCAATCTCTGCCGAAAGGGTGTGTACGGATCCAGAAAATGTGTCGTCATATAAAGATTGGAAACACCCGGAAACGTCTATCAGCTGAGAAGTTTCCTGGGGCTTTGCACCTACTTTAAGAGTTTTGTGAAAGACGTTTCTTCTTCTTTTCGTTTTTCTTCCATTTCACAAACTGACAGAAAGCAAACAAATTTCTCTTGAATAAAAGAATGTGAAGACCACTTAACAAATTGAAGGAGTTTTGAAATCTGTGACAAAAGTGACGTATCCTCAGCTCGGCAAACCATTTATTTTTGACATGGATGCAAGCAGTGAGTGTATCGGTGCTATTTAGTCCCAAGAAATAAATGGTCAAGAACGTGTCGTAGCACACCGGAGCAAGTGTCTATCTGAACCGGAGAGAAATTACTGTGTTACCAGAAAAGTGTGAATAGCCATAGTTAAAGCCGTAGATCATTTCCACCATTACCTCTCCGGCTGAAAACTCCTGCTTCACCCAGATAATGCCTCGTTGACCTGGCTGTTTAATTTCAAGAATTTTCGAACTCCAAACCAGCATCGAAAAGGATCGACACACGAAAACGTCGATGATCTGTCTAAAAGACCTTAACCAAAAAGTTGCCGATATTGTTCCACGGTCGAAGCGAAATACTAGCTGCTTAACCGCGTCGCACGATAAATTACAATATCAACATTGGCAGACCCAGACCCAGGCAGTGACAAAGAAGTCAGGATAGCCCAACTGAAACACGGCGACATTAAACCCATAATTGAATTAATGGAGTCTTCAAACAGCAAACCTACCTGGCACGACATTTCGATATATAGTCCTACCACAAAGCAATACTGGCCTCTCTGGAACTCACTCCATATTCGAAACGGCGGCTTATACCGGAAGCTAGAATCGGATATTGGAAATGCATTGAAGCGGGTGCATTGTCCTGGTGCAACAGCCATCCATCACTCCACAAGTGTGGCCTTCTTTTTTCACGAAGTCATTTTCGTATTTCAATGTAGTAGTATTGATTAACAGTCTGACATCTAAAACCCATTCAGTCATTATGAACGTGTTGTGCGCCCAGCACATTCATCATCTTCCAAACTGTCCTTTCCTCATGAAAACCGCTTATACCATTCAAACACACGAGCATGAGACAAAGTTTCATCTCCGTAAGCCTCGGTTAACATTTGAAATGTTTCCTCTGTGGCTGATTTCTGAAGTTTCACAAGAAACTTGATGTTGATTCGCTGTTTGGTTTTTACATTGGACATTTTTCCGGCAGAATGCAGTTGGGTCGTCGGTTAAGTCGAAACTGGCCGCATGGATAGAGGAGGTGTGTGCCATGACGCCACTAAAACAGTTGTTGCCAACTCCACTCTATTTTCAAGCTACATAGTCCCGTTTTTTTTGAGTCACACCTCGCATATATATATATTCTCGTGTATAATGCTTCACGTTGGACATAGCTTTGTTTCTATGGAAATCGTTTGCTACTGAAAGCATTTAAATCTAAAAATTCACACTGATTTCAGTATTCTAATTATGTCTTTCTTATATTAAGCCTGAAATAAAATATTGTTCCTTGTTTAATGCGTCTATTTTAACAATCAATTCGAGACTCATCAAATCAATCATATCGGTCAAATAAATATCGTCAATCAAATCAAAACTCATAACACTCAAACCAAGACTACTGATGTCTGTTTCAGAAATTTTACAGTAATATGAAAGTATTCGTTCCGTAAACATTTATAATGAGGACTGGCTAAGATAGTCTGTAAGTCACAGCATTCTTTTAAGGACCGTTCAGACTGGGGTTTATCTGTGCTAACGGAGACAACTGACTGAGTCGACCAATCTCCAAAATCAGATTTTTTCCCATAGCGCAACGAGTTGAAAATTCTGAACAGCAGGTATAGCGGAGCTACTCGACACACGGAACTGACTCCGTTAGCTCAGATAAACCCCAGTCTGAAGAGCCCTTTATATATTCCGGATGTTCATTGATTCCGAATGTTCATTGGGAACATTCCTCCGTTCATTGGGAGTGAATGAATGTTCATTGATTTTGTTTTTACTAAGAAAAGCAGACTACAAGAAATTAATAGACTGTCTAAAATCTGAGCATCTAGGTGATAATCAGACACTGTGTATAATAGTCACTGGTTACGTGCAGGTATTTTTAAATTCTTGAAAAACATATGTGCTTCTGGTACTAATTGGGAAGCTTCCTTACAGTCAAGATCGCAAACGAAATAGGATTTATGATAAGACATGTAATCTTAACTTTGCTATACTTACAGTTTAAATAAGAAATTTTAACAAAAATCTCATGTCATACCCTTTTTGGGAAGAAGAGACTTTAGCAACATAACGCAATGTTGGTCGCAAGCCCAAGCATGCATTTTTCTATAGGAATCTCGACCTTTCTCGGTTAACTTGTCCCAAGGCTTTGGCTTTGAAAGCAATTCGGAAACTGTACCTATGGAAAAGAATTTTGCATTGTGATTATCTAAAATGCATAAAATTTCTTAAATTCATAATTGTTGCAAAGGTGGAAATTAAAGTTAAAAATTTTAATTACGTGTTATATCAAATGAATAACAATCCATCGTTCTTATTTTAAAAAAGTATAGAAATGAGTAAAAGAGTAATTATAATTAATTAAGTAGGCAGCAGCTAGTTTAAGTTTTGAACTGAAAAACAATCAATTCGTGTTAGATTTATTATTCTGCAATTTTTAACACTACTTATGCCATTTTTATATTTCAGTATAAAGTCTTGACAATGACCGGTTTCTAAATTTCTCCCATATAATAATAAAAATAATTACTCATTTAATCCGGTAATGAAACACAAGATGCAATGCATTTTGCAATTCATTCAAAATTTTCTGCGTATTTAGAAATTATGCACTTTAAATAAAAAGTGTTAAAATAATAAACTCAGGAATCTTTTTTTACCCTGTGAGAGCCCGAGGACTAACTTGGCGAAGAGCCTTTGTCCGATATTATTGACACTCAGGAGCTCACGAACACATCTAGATATAGTCAGAGTATTTAAAGGTTCGCCACAAAATCGATCTACATTGATGCGAAGACAACGTTGCAGTTGTTCTGTAGATACAGTGTCTACGGTGTCTACCGAGGATGCCGAGGGAGGAGTAGATACAGAAGCTGGTTCTTCAGTCCCACCACCACTTTCGTCACCTGTAATAAAATTATAATGTAAAACGATTATAATTAATGATAAAAGTATTTTGCGGGTTGTACCTCTAAAATCCAGTAATCATGAAAAAATAGACCATAGAAACCATAGAAAATGGGCAAAACAGAAATCGAACCTTAAAGGAACACTTCTGTAGAAGTAAATAATATGTCCAATCATTAGGCTAGCTAGTTCATTCCACATAGGCATTGCTGTGGTATCAATGTAAGAAGAAAGCTATAAATAGCAACGAGTGTTAATTTCACTAATTTTCCAAGTGAGATTCCTTGGCTTAAAATTTTCCGCCTTTTATTTTCATCAGAAAAGTTAAAAATATGCTTTGTTCTTTAAGTCATACGCAAGGTCGGCGCTAGACACTTTACCACCTGGAGGAAATCTCTGCGTTTCCTAATGATTTTACCAGTGCATCCTTAAAATATAAACATATTTTGTCGCCCCTAATTACCACCGCCTGGTGCCGTCGACCGGTTGGACAGCTCTGGTGCAGGCCCTGGTAATACGATCTCATTATATTCTTACAGTGATGTCACAACCTTTCCTTTTATCTTAAGTAAGTCCATCATTTTCAGACACAGAAAATGTTTTGAACTTGGGGTTAAGACTAACATTTAATACTATCTTCTGCACCTATTGTCCTCTTAGCTCATGTCCTGATGGATTATAGTATATTATGAATGAATATAAGAAATAAACAAAAAATGTAAAGCCAAATCTGGGCTACAGTGTCAAGAGATATTAAATCCTGAACGTTATTAAGAGCGTCTTATAGGAATGTACATCGGGTCCACAAAGTCTTTACCCGCCTTTATTTTCGCAACCATTGGTCGTAAAAATGTACTTCCAAATAAGAAAATGCTTTAAATCATGCAAAGCTTCATATTTTAATATTTTTCATTTGAATAAGTTAGTTTTATAAAAAATAAAAAAGTATTAAACCTAACGTTTTATACGTTTTCTCCGGTCCCTATACTTATATTTAGGAATACATTATACTCGTGATAAAAAGTAAAACACAAAATGTTTGACAAAAATTGACCGAGATACTTGATATTAAACTCGAACATCATATTCAGGGGCCTACGCAAATTGAAGAACGAAATGTTTGGATTTGTACATAACTAAAAACCAAAGAAAAATTTAGAAAAAGTTTTCTCATGTTAAAAAATTAAATGATGAACATTTCAATGCAGATTATTGTGAAAATTATTAATCAGTATAAACTGTTTTCAAAATGGAGATTTATTCACAGAATCTAAAAAACATTATCAGGCTTCATTATTAATTAGCACATGGCCAACTTATAAGATCATTTGCAGTAATTAAAAATGGAAAATATTTTTACTTTACTAAATTTTTGTACGTTTATCAGATTATGATTCTAAAGAAATAAAGCTCCATGATAATATTAAATATAAAAATGCCAAAACACGAATCTTTATGTCTTTATTTCGCAACAGAACAAATATCTGTTAGACCAATGGTTGCGAAAATAAAGGCCTGCTAAAGACTTCTATAAACATGGTATATACAAAATGATGGCGGCCGATTCAAAATATTGTGTAATTGTAGGAGTTGCCTGAAACAGAATAGCGATTTCTGGTTACCTGTAAAATTAAACGTAAAATAAAAACGTGGTTATGGTACTTCTATCACTCTTTAAACCTATGGCATGTCATAAACATTTAGTAAAATGGAAACCGTTAAGAAATTTTAAGTTGAGGATTTTAGTTAGTGCTTTGCAAAAGCTTACAAAAGGAGTTAGGTAAATATTACTCTCAGTTTTACTCCGCAAGAAAACATATGTAAGTTTCAAGCCAAGTTTATTTTTTAGTTTCCGCAATGCATTGTTCTTAACTTTGAAATGTGCAGTATGATATTAAAATTTATATCAAAGGTTTGACTGTTGATCCAGGAATGTGGGCGATAATTATTGCAAAAGTTTTGTCAGGAATAGAGGTCTACTTGACGTTATTATTAGACTATTAATAATTGCAATTAATGTGAATAAACTATTTGCCGTCACAAATTATAATTGCTGTGATTATATAAAACTATCAGAGACCGAAAAGTGTTGCTAGCGAAGAATGTTAAAAAATAAAAACACCAACACATGTAGAAAAACCTAAGTATTTAAAAATAAGTAAGTAGAAAATTATTTAATGTAACGGAATACAAATATTAAATACAGAAATACAAATAATAATAACTGAAAACATGGTGCTGCATACCTGAGGATGGAGTCATTCTCGCTCCATTTGTGTCTGCTGGTTCAGACGGAGATTTGTCATTTGCTGGCGATCCAACTTCCACTTGTTCATTACCCCAGGACTGCCATCCACCCATATCTAAAGCTTTCAGCAATCTAGAAATGAAGATAATTGAACAAAATAATTAGATATGAATTGTATAATACAAACACATTAATACTTGAACAGATAAAGGAAGATTTAATGAGAAAAAGTAACGAATTCGATAAAATTCGGTTTATTACTGGGTACTGAAGTGTATAAATTTGTGTCTATGTAGTTAGCTCATATATATTTCTCTATATAAGTATACATATATAAGGGCTAGTTAAAATTAAAATATTAGCTAACCAAATTTTAACTGATACTTTAATGCATTTAGTTGATTATTAGTAATGCGATATAACTTACCTAAGTTCTCTCTTTAAATCTGTATAATCTTGTTGCCTTAGTAACTTTTCAGCCAAATCTTTAATAACTCTATCTTTTTCAGTCACCATATCTTGCAACTGAGCAATCTGATAAATGAAATAAAATTCGTCGTTATACGAGCAAATAGTCAAAATTTTCAAAATATTTAACTAGAATTCTGAACATTATCGAAAAATGATCTAAAGTGTACATAAAATTTCAATTAATTTTATTTATTTTTACAACGAGACATAATTGACCACTCTCGTAGAAATTAATTTTTTTTTAATTTCTTGCAAAAAGATGGACCTTTCTTAAATGCGCAATCGAAATGCATTCATATTTAAGAGCTTAATATAATAAAAATGTGAAACTTTTTTACTTAATATTTTCCTATAAGAATAATTCATCTTTATTGTAAAAAGAGACAGTAGTTGGCAGTGGTCAGGCCGATCTATTTAAAAAAATCTTAAGCTTGAAATACCTGATTGCGATTAGGCCACAGGTTGTTTGATACAGTAAATGTGCTTGCTTATGTATATTTAAAAGGGAGACAAAAGAGGTATTCTACCCTCCACTATTACCACAGCGCCTCTAGGAGACATTGGTAATTTAGTTCAAGACCAACGGGAGCATGGGGAGTTTTTATCAGTATTTAACAGATGCAGGCTAGCGTTGTAATGAATTCAAATCGTTATTTTGTTACTTTCAGGTGATGAAAGTGAATTAGAAGGGAACGCGTAAAAGCACAAAGGAGTTGTGTCGTACTTTACAGATGACAACATAAGGGTGAAAATGCAGCAAGAGTGAATTACTGTCCAAATAAACCAAGGATACATAAGGAGGAGGATTTCCACAGATATCATATGACAAAACATTTTAAAACTTTATATATATATATATATATTTGCATTTTAAGTAAGGTAAAGCAAGTATTTAGATAAATTTAAAGCTATAAAATTCAACATATTTTATTTTTATAGAATTCATTTTATTTTTATAAGTGTCACCTCATAAAGGGCTTCTAGCAGAATGGATACGCATGTTTATGAAAAAAAAAAAAAAAAAACATTGTATAGGGAATTTTTTATCAGAGCTTTAAGATTTGCAATGTTAGAGTATTCATTTCTACTTAAATGAAAGAAACTCCTAATAGGAAGCCAATTTTAAGCAAGCAGAATTTGAAATTATGCAAAAAAGCAACTTTTGCTTAGCGTTGATTTTGAACAAACGATTTATTTCGAGGGCAATTAAGACACAAATCCCTCTACCTCAGAGGCAAAAATGTTTTATAATAGAGTTTTGTTTTTTGGAAAAGAGGACTATTTTTTTTGCTCGCTTTTAAATTATACTTTGATGTGTTTCTCTTTCGGTTAGATATAGTGTAGAGTTTTTTAAATGCTTTGCATTTCAGAGCTCTTCTGGAAGAGACGAGTGTGGCTTTTATGTTTATTAATGAAATGTTTAATTTACTTCTTTCATTTTTGCCTCTATTTGCCACAAGGTTCGCTCATTCCAGAATTTATGTAAATTTGAGTAGAAACAGTTTTTACTAAAAAATTTAGAAATTACGAATAGCCGTGTAAGAGTTTTGGTCAGCTGTTCATTGCTTCTTTGCTGATTAAAGTACAATATGTTTGTCAACGTTGATCTTGATGTGGATATTTTCGATTGACGTTAGATTCAATTTTGGTTAGTAGTTTATATTCCTGCCGCGGTCTAGGATAAGCTTGTAGGCTAAACTCAAGTTAGATTAAATTGTTAAATTTATCACAGTTATGGAAATAGCTTGTAATTAAATCAAGTTCAGTTGGATGGTAACCATATGTTTGCATATTTTAAGTTTAACACCTCACAAGTATTGGATTTAAAGTGATTTTATTTTGTCTCAGTTTGCTAAGAGTTAGAAATTCTTTTAACAATAGTTCAGTTTTAAATATAGGTTATACCTTATTTTTATTGAAATTTGAGCTGGCTAAGTTACTTGTAGCACAGCAGGGGCTACAATAGGGCCTGCCTATATGAAGTGCAGAAATTACAAATTTTTATAATTGAAGAGTACATTATTTTTTTGCTTTCTTTTCATTTGAAAAGCACCGAAGACACCACGAGGATAGTGATATATATCCTCTACATTTTTAAAGTATCATATACTATCCGTACTACTGTTAAGAACATATGAAATTGAAACATACTATGTGAAATTCAAAATTAATTAAAATTTAAATAGATTTTATTTAATAAGAAATTCAGAACTCAAGACAGATTCAAGGCTGATTAGAATTCAAGTGTTTATAAAAGCTAACATTTAAATTATAGATATTATATATCCCTCTTCATTTGAAAAAAAGAAAAATAATTATTTTATTTAAAAATCTAAGTAATAAGATTTATGTTCTAATCAAATGGATTGTTAATAGCTGAAAAATGCGAAACAGTTCTTCTTACTTTGGAGGTACTCATTTCCTTTAAATTATTAATACTGGATTGCAGTCGTTGCATTTCATCCACTAGATGAGACACCTGGAATTAGGATTCGAAGACAGAAATTACCTTGAGGTACAAATGAAAACAATGCATATTTATACACAAGTTTTGGGAATTATTAACTTTTTACATTATTTTTGGACACACAATAGCTAAGACTGTAAAAAACATATGTGAGAATTAAACAATAAGATATTTATAGAACTTTTCATGGATAAAGAGTAAAGTTCAGATTAACTAATCATGCAAAAGATCGCAAGAACTTTTCCCAGCTGGGCAGGTGTCTCCGTAAAGGAGTTTTTAAAAAAAGCTGGTTCGTATTTAGCTCACATATGGGCTAAATCAATTGCAAATTTTAATTAGTTAGGGAAGAAAAATTCCAAGATTATTCTTCAGGAAGACAAAAAAATTTTTTTTCTCCTCTTTTTTTTCTTTTTCTTCTTTTTTTCTTCTTCTTCTTTTTTTTTTTAAAATCACAGAATTACAGTTTAGTTTTTGTTTTCTTCTTTTTACTTATTTATTTATTTATTTTATTTATTTATTTACATAAAACTAAATGTTTTTGGTAGCTTAGAATTCTATTGTAATCCATCACGTCAAGCATTACAATCGTGATTTCAGAATTATTTGTTGAGAGGTTTCCGTGATAAAGTGGCAGATTTAAACACAGGAAAACATAGTAAAATGCTACATTTACATTGTTGATATACGCTTAGGCAACAAATTGCGGACAGTATGGAAGTCACAAAAAATATTATAATAATTTAACTCCTTTTTGCATTTCTTATAAAACTGGCTTTTTCTTGAATTATTCAAATACCATAAACAAAGGCTACTATGCTGTTATAAACCAAGCACTTTTGTAAGAAAAATGCTGTTTTTTTTTATAATTATACATTCACAGAAAGCGAACAGCATTACATTTAGTGGCTAATTTCCCAGCGTTTGAAAAGTTGTTCGCTACGTAATCTCACTGTATCATCAATCATTTTACATTCAAAACGGTAACAGAAACAAAGAGTCTAATTAAAAAAAAATTTTTTTTACTTTATTTTTTAAATGAATGAAAAATTTTATAAATAAAGGGTGTTTGAGATCAATGCACATTTTTTTTTTTTGGTCTAAGTAATATATTAAAGAACTAAAGTTTATACAAATAAATAATCTAATATTTAGTAACGGCTATTTAATGCTTAAAGCATTTTTCTTAATTAAAATTGTTAATAATAATTCCTTACATGCTTTGCAGAAATAAGTTTGAATGTCAATTAATAGTTTACAAGCTAAAAAGAGGCCAATTTATTATTTGTTTTAAATTTGTGAAATCTATTACATTGCATAGTAAAAAGGTGGTTAATTGATAAGAAACAAAATTAAGTTATCTTTAATTGCATTAGAGAAACGCATTAATTGAATTATGCAGTTTTAAAACAACTTTTCTTTTATTCATTTTACCTTGATTATTTATCATAACGTTCGCCATCTTTTAAAGACATCGCAAATATTATAAAGCGGTAAAGCACAGAAGACGTTGCAGATTTGACTAGCTTAAGTGAATAAAATAAATTTTTTCCTTAGCCAGAGTTATAAAAGTATTGAATATATGATTCATGAAAATTTGGAAAGAAAATATAAAAGTCGAGAACACTTTTAAGTTTGAGGCAGAGAAAACTGACGACGTTTAGTCAATAATAATTTAGAAAGTTTAAAGGAAAGGATTAATGTAAGAAATATATTAGAAAAATGTGAAGTTTTTAGTGTAATGTCATTGTATATATATTTTCTAATAAAAAGAACAGGATTTAGGGAAAAAAAAAAAAAAATCTGAAATTTTTCAGATTTTAAATTACGTCCAAAGGGGCGTTTTTTTTAACGTTTTGAGTGTTACCTTTATTTATTAAATATCATGTTCTTTGCACTTAAACCATAAAATTCAGTTCAAGAGCAATATCGCAAAATAATGTTAAATTAAGCATATCTTTAGAATTTCCGATATACACAGTCTCGCGAGCTGGAGATAAAAGTATTTTTTTTCTATATAACGTTGCCATTTCTCGCTTTTAAAGCATTGAGTTTGTAAATCAAAAATTCGTTAAAGTTTTACAAAATATGAAAAATCTGTAATAAAACAAATTCCAAATTTGGGATTTTAGATGCCCATATTCGCAGTAGGATTTCGTCATTCAAAATTCGATGGCTCTATGTACCATTGTTTTATCACAATGCGAGAAATAGACAATCATTTATGCAGATTTTTCATTATTTAATTTCTTCAAATATAATGCAGGACTCTAACATTTTGTGGCAACAGTTTGAAAAGTGAACTGACGTTTATGAGTCCGACGCAAAATGCCAAAACGAAAGCAATAGTCCTTCGGGACTGAAATCCCTTTGGACTAAAAAAAAAAAAAAAAAAAAAAGAGAGAGAGAGAGAGAAATTTCAGAAAAGATTTATTTCAATTATGTGTCATTTGAAACACTTCAGAGCAAAATAGGCCAATTTATTGGCAGGATGGATTATAATAATTGATCAGTCGAAATAAAATAATTATTGTTTTAAAAAAATAACACATTTTCTCAAAACGCAAACCGAATAAAGAATGGAAAGTCTGGGCTAATTTTGAGTTTAATTGTATCTTTTCCATTTATTTTTAAACTTGCTTTTCCAAATGTTGTAAATTGAATGATACTATATTTTTAGTAACTACTTTCTTTCATACTTTTTTTTTAAATTTTAAAATGTACCATTTTTAAGTTATTTTACCATTATATCAAAACAATTCATAAGAATAAACATAGAAATACAGAAATGTAATGTTTAATCAAGAGATGGCAGCACCTACCTCTCTTTTCTTTGTAGCTAGTTCCATGTGAAGGTTAATAGAGCCTATGAGAGCATCGGGGGATTGCGTCATTTGCTCCTCCTCCTCTCGTCGTCCGAGGCGGTCTTTCGTCTGCTCTTCGTCTTCGCCCTCATCATCCAAACATTCTTCTCCTAGTGCTGCCCTCTATTGAGAAATGGTACAAGTATTACGAATAGCGAAAATCACAGTTCCGCAAGTAAAATTAATTAGATGAATTATTTTTAATTCAAAGCAAGAATTTTAGGCTTATATTCGTTAATAGTGGGTTATAAAGATGATTAACTATTTGGAAACTAAATTAATTTAGTTTTAATAGCATTATGCAGTTTTAAAATTGATTTCCAGTATATTTTTGGCTTGCCTACTTGAGGTAAAAAAATTAAAAATTTGAACACAAAAATGCTTTTCTTGGATCCTGCCTCATATATATCTATATCTATATCTATCTATATATATATATGTTTAATAGGCAAGGGAATGACGTGTAATAATATGTTACATAGTACACAATATTCATATTTATCTTTGGCGGTGCTTGTTGCCTTCAATCAAGGAAGCCCATGACAAAATTATAAAAACCACTTTATTTTATGCATGCGTTTAATTGTTTGGATGATTCTTCTGATTAAAAAAAAAACGAAAATAGCTAGAGTGCATATGATACAAAACAACAGTGTATATGATACAAAAACTTACAAAATACACTTAAAATGTCAAATGTATTTATGAAATTATCGATGTTTTCGGAGAGCACTGTTTTAAGTGGGCACCTGCTAGATGTCCACTTAAAAGTCGTGGCAATAATCGGACGTTTTCAGAGGCAGAAATATTTAAAATTTATGATATGAAGTATTAATATTTACTGTATGTTTTTATCGATTAATAACGGTGTTTTACGAAGTTTCATTTCCATAGTTGCTTTTGTATTACTTCTTAAAGATTCAAAATTTTTGTTGTGGTAACAAGAATGATAACACAAGGAAAGCTTGAGCCGATATAGTAGTTAATTGTTCATTTGGCGTAAAGGAATAAAAACAGTTTCTTAAAAACTAAATTTCAAAAAGCTGTCTTTTATGCTCAAAATTATAGCATTAATTTCACAGTTAAATTAATAATTGTTCCATTAATATTTCTTCAACGGAGACAGGCTCCTATGATCTGCATTTTTGACGGTGTAATTCCATGATATATTTATCAGACGTAAGAGAAGAAAATGTATCTACTCTGCCTGCTTGCATCTCATGGCTGGGATTGTTCCTTCGCTCATTTAATGATCCTTATTGTAGTGAAATTCATTGACGTCTTAAAATGGTCAGTTGTTTTTTAGTATCAATTATGTGTATTTGAAGTTTTTAATTCTGTGACAACTTTCTGACAATAGTTGTGATTATAAAAGCTATTTTCTAAATTTGAATTTTGGCAATAATTTTATAAAATTCTGAATGCTACATATACACTACATAAAGATTTACCGCATGCTGATAAAACTGTCTTACTGAATTATTTCAAAGGCTATTCGAAGCTATTCTTAAATAAAGCCACCCTTATCAATCTATTGGTCAGCAGTCGTATCGTCGGGCCCAGATTCGAGTCTTAGAGAAGGTAAGTGTATGGTGACGGTGCGGCATATTGATCCGTAGACTTGTTTGGTGTTAAGGGAAGATAAGGGGAGACTTCGTATCTGTGCCCCCGGGGCGTTTTCAATCAAAACTGGGGCGGAGCTGCAAATTATTGAAGAAAATTTAGACATTGCCTTTTTACTACCTGCATATAATGAATCTTTGACTGAATATGTAAAATAAGATATTTTAATTACTTTATTGCAGAAAGTTTCTGAAATACACTGCGGAAGCATTTAGAAGATTACAGTGATCTCATTTTCCTTGTCAAGAATGTAAACGTGTAAGCCGACCACTATAACTTTCTATAGAAATCTATGTAAAAGTAGCAGCACTATCACCTGTAACTTTCGGAATTAGTTACACGTAGACACTTTTTCCGCTAAACTTCCTTATTGAAAACGAATATGAGGTCATTTCTGAACTACTTATTAGAAGGAATATGAAAATATCTAGAAAAATGTCGAAGCACAATAATAATAATATTATTATGATAAAATAACTATGGCAAAATACTCAAGGTCTATTTGCTTACCTAAGATAATCTTCCTAAAGGAAATTGTTTCACATTTATTTTATAGTTCTTTTAGAAGTTGTGAAAAAAATATCAGCATCAAAGGCGTTAACTTAAATTAAAATCAGCAAGACATAACAGTAATCATGGTTATAATTAATCGACTGAAATATTCTAGAATGTCTTATTAAAGCACAAAACTAAGCGCGCGTAAAAACAAAGGTTACATTACTTGAATATCGCAAAGCCACGAGGCTATCTCCCTAAGAAGAGGAGTGCCTTTGTGAGAACTTAAAGAGGAAGAGGAGTGACTTAAATGCAAGCTATTTTTCTTAGAGAAATAGCTCACATTTAGGTCACACATGGCTAAAACCCCGAAAATCAACAATGTAGTGAGCCTGTTCGCCTGGGATGGAACTCAAGCCAGACCGAGGGGTTAAGACAGTGGTCTTAACCTCTCGGTTACTGGTATGGCCCATTAAAAATAAAGATGATTCATTTGTATCTTAATTAACCATTCCAAACAACAGAAATACGCAAACCTAATTAGAACGACGCATTTAATGTAAGAAGTCAAGCAACACAGTTTATTTTATTTATTTTATGTTTTTAAATTTGAACACATACAATTTCCACGTGCGCCACAAATGTACAACACGGAGCTTACAAAAGTATGTTAACTCAAAAATTAAATATTACATGCATAAATAAAACGTAAAAAACAGATAGCAGCAATCTAGCTTCATAAAAAAGTTCACTGACCAAGTCAAACTACAAAATGTTTCAAATCGTTCTGCAGGCATAATCTAAGGCCATCGAAGATAGGGCAGAAAAAAATGTGTTCCACATCTTGAGGTACCTTTTTTGAAAACTCACATGAATTATTTGAATTTTAGATTGAAACGAAACAGGTAGTTTGCAAATTCACCGTGACCAGATAAAAAATCAGATGCTTTAGAATTAATAGAGAGAACAGACTTGGGATCTTGGGATGCAGTCTATGATAAATAGAAGGAAAGAAATTTTTGGTGTCCTCAGCATTACAAAATGAAATATATTCCTCATTCAACTTAGCTAAAAGCTTCTTATAATGAAAGGACTTCCAATAACTCTTTCGAATGCTAATATTGATATCTATGGGTAAATTTAAAGCATCTTTAGCTAAGAAATCAGCTCTTTCATTTCCATAGAATCCATAATGACCACACACATAAGCAAAATGGAAATCATTTCCCCTATTTTTAAGCGAACTGAGTTAATAGAGATTTGATTACTAATTTGTCGCTGCTGGTAATACTGTTCAAAAGGTGAAGAGAACAAAGGAAATCGGAACAAATATTTTGAGAATGCTGTCCCTCTATCCTTGATCCATTTGACGACAAGATAAATATAGAGAAGTTCTCCTTGAGAAACAATGCATTCATTTCGAATAGAGTGCTTATATTTTCCAAGAACAGTCAATGAATGTGACGAAATACAATTTACGATTATTTTTCAATATTAAGTCTTAAAGAAAACTCTTACAAAGTTACGAATGTTTCTCAAAATAGTTTTTTTTTGTTCTAAGGGAGTTAATTTATATTATTTTATAGAAATTTTATTATTTGCAATGAAAAATTAAAAAAAGAAAAAAAAAAAAAAAAAAAAAAAAAAAAACAATAAATTGTAAACGTAAAAAATGACCGAATTCACTGCCCAAAAGTTCTCTAGCACGCTAGTAAAAGGCTATTTCCGAATCACCACTAAGTGAACGGAAGTGGTCTCTATTCATTGGATCTGTTGAACATTGTTACAAAGAGGGTAGTGAGGATTAGAAAAGATTTCAACGCGATGGAGGTGCTCTGCCAAGCAGTCGTGTCCCGTCAGGATCCGGAACTAGGCAACAGCTTTCCACCGTAGACTGATGGGAATTGCTAATAGATTTTAAATTCCCCAAAGCTTTATCCTATCTTAAATTTGCAGTTTATAAATTTCTCCCATTATTTGCCTGATCTAAACCCTGCAGATGTTGAAAATTTAATTTATAATAATCTCGAAACTCTTTTGCGAGGCAAACAGCCTGCTTGTTCCAAAAAATGCCACAATGCACAGGTATCTACTGAAAGACCACACCTTTACTTTTTAAAACAAACTTCCGTAAATAATTCCAACATTGAGAGATTTCTTCCGATGTCGGCCAACTCGAAAAACTAATGGCCTGTACTGCAGCCCGGGAATCAGAAAAAATGATATCTCTAGCAAATCTATCTACAAAAATCAGCAAACATTTTACAGAAATTTGGATAGCCTCCACTTCTCTATCAAAAGCTATTCGAAATTTCGCCGCTGAAGCATAAAGGAAGAATAGCTCGAAAAGATTCCCAAGCCTGTAGTAATAAGATCTCCATAAAAGATCCTGAAAGCACAGCACTCAGATTTTGGATATATCATATCAACAGTATCTAAAGCATAACATTTCAGAAACATCTGTAGAGTTTGTGAGAACTCTACAGATGAAAAGAATTTGTGAGAACTCTTGAAATGTGGTTTGTGAGAAAGGCATGACAACTCAAAATTTCATCTGACATCCCGGGCAAACTGAACAAAACCATTTTGTGTTTATACATTTCTAGTATTATTTGGATAATAAATCCAGTAATGACTTCTGGATCTAATGAATTTTTCAAAAAGAATCAGAGCTTTTCTTCGATGATAACTTTAATAAGTTTATTTTTTGACCCCCCCCCCCAAAAAAAAATACATAGCATCAATCGGTGTTGATTTGACGGCCCGGTAATGAGGCTTAGAGCCCGAATCTGTAAAAGTTCAGGTTTTTTTAAAACTTGATCACCTACTGCTGCAAGTAAATAAAGGCAGGATACGAAAGCGTTTAACGTGTTTATATATTATAAAGTGTTTAAAGTTGATCTATCACATCCCAAAGGGATCCAGCTAGTCGCCTTAAACAGTCAGTACGCTTATTTTATGAAAATAAAATGTATGAAAATATCTTACTTATACGTTATTTAAAA